GATAAAATAAAGTATTGAGTGTGAAGTACCGAAAAGTGCTCTCAAATTATACTTGGATTAAAGACAAGCCAGAGGAGGGTGAAACTGTGGCCATGCAACACAAACTATGGACCGTATCAGTAAACCCATAGAGACTCGTACAGATGCATAGAGACTCATAGAGACCCGTGGAGACACATTAAAGTCAAGCAACAATAGTACGACTGCGGAATACAACACAAACTATGGACCGTATCAGTAAACCCATAGAGACTCGTACAGATGCATAGAGACTCATAGAGACCCGTGGAGACACATTAAAGTCAAGCCACAATAGTACGACTGCGGAATACAACACAAACTATGGACCGTATCAGTAAACCCATAGAGACTCGTACAGATGCATAGAGACTCATAGAGACCCGTGGAGACACATTAAAGTCAAGCCACAATAGTACGACTGCGGAATACAACACAAACTATGGACCGTATCAGTAAACCCGCAGAGATACGCAGAGACTCATATTCTCGCAGCCAAATACGTTTCTAAATGTGGTGGGGGGGGGGGGAAACCGAAGGACCTGGAGAAAAGTCGACGCGACCGCGGGGAGAGCAACACGCAAACTCCAAATACTGCGTGCAGGCGTCAGGGTCGCAATGGAAACCACGACGTCCTTGTAGACCAGCGAGGGAGTTGACATCTTCTAGCCACCGCGGCGGCCCGGTTAGACACAACGGATCCGAAATGCGCAGTGGGGGTGGTGGAGGGCTGCCGACGCGCCGATTCGCGCGGGCACGATCATCATCATCTCACCGTCGTCCCACCGTGATGGGGATGCCCCCCCCTGATAACGTGGCCCTGCTCGAGCAGAAGGCTGAAGAAGGCTGCGTCTGCACCGCATCTCACAACCCCCTCCACCTCGCCACCCCCCATCTCAAAAAGCATCGACACATTCGTCAATAACACTGCGTGACCTTAAAGAGAACGACGTATATATAATCGGCAACGTTTTGGACAATGGCACTTCTTCACAACACATACTATATAGATATCTCACAACTCGAGGTAGCCTTTGAAAAGGAGACAGTTTTTTTACGTGTCCGAACCCCCGATTGCCACGAAGGGCTACGTACGGTGCGAAAGAAGTTCAACATACATACAGTACATACAATGAGTCTAGTTAATCCGGTTAAACAGAGGAGGCTGACCAACTCTGATCCCGGTTACACAGCAACTCATAATCTCGTAAACTGATTTCGTCGTACAAATTTGGACAATATAGTAGGACCCCTGTGGCTTGAATGACTAAACCGGGTAGTGATTTTTGTTGTTGCAATTGTGATGGTAAAGAGTTGAACAGGATCGCACTCTACCGAGGAATACATCATTCATTCTAAAGGCCCTCGCAAAAAACACAATCTCCACACTGCAAGTCGATCCGTGTCCCAAAAAAGGTCCATTGCCTGAAACATCTGACAATTTATTTTTCATGTAAGACAGTACATCGCTATTTGACAAATGCGGCGAGTGGTGTCCGTTAGATTCGTGTGTTTTGGCCCTTCCGTTTTTGTTTGTTTTAACGCGAGTAGTCCACATAACCGACGCGGGTGAGATAATAATGAAGTCTCTCAAAGCTCTTTGACATTGGGGGGGGAGGGGGTCAAGTTTCTTTACGCGGAGGCCATGTAACGTACCGTAGACGTGGAACGCAGAAGCTGTCGCTAATCAAAATCCCCCCCCCGCCCACCCGGGTTGCCAACTTGGGATCGCAGCGGGCACGGGACGACGGCGAATTCGCGACCACGCGTTCACAACCCCCCAGTGCGAAGTCTGGTCAAACAACGCCCATGACGGACGGGTGAATATATATGGGCGCTGAGATGTTAACACCCTCGCCTGGGTATGCAGGAGGTCGTGGGTTCGATCCCGACGCCTGGATTTTTGGGGTCTGCATGTTCTCCGAGTCCTCCGGTTTTTTCTCCTCCGCACTCAGAATCGACATCGCGCGCTCAGAGTATTTGGCTGCTATAAATTTCCACGCGATAAGCCACTCCGTTGAGATATTATTTGTGGCCAGATCGCTTCTGAAAAAGACCTATACAGCTCCGTGAGCCTTACACCTGTTTAAAATGAAAATAGCTTAAAGTTTCAGTTTAACGAGCCGCGCGCCTCCACCTAGGGAGGAGGGCACAGACGCGTGCCAGAGGGCAAGCGGACCACCGTGGCGGCACTCGGAACCACCACGTCGAGCGTACCCTCGCGCTCTGGCCGCGGCTGCACCAGTCACGTGGGTACCCCGGTATTGCAGCGACCCGCGATGCATTCACTGGGCAATTAACCCCACCCCCCCCCCCCCCCCCCCGAGTTGCCGCGAGGTCGCGACGCAACTTTCCGCGTCGCGAGCGTGCAGCATTGACAATGAGAGGGGAAACGGTGCGAGGTCGCCGACGTTCGCATTAATCGCCCCCCCGCCCCCGCCCCCGCCCCCCCCCCGCGCCTCACTCAATCCGATCGCGATTAACTCACCCTTTTTACATCAGAATATTTCACCTGGAAAATTCTCTTGAGATGGAACGTCTCGGTGTTTCTTTTTTTTTTTTACAAAGGAGTCTGGAGTAAAAATGTTGCCGAAACCCCAGGGCTTGAAGCAGGAGACCTTTTTTAGATCAGGGGTCGGTAATCAAAATAACAAGACCCATTTTTTCCCAATTTGGTAAAAAAACTATATATTTCAAGAACCACAATACGAAACGGTCCTTAATGAGCCGCACGGGGCTTTGGAGTCGCAGGTTTCCCGGCCGCTGCCCACGGTGAACCCTGCCTTCCATGGTCAGCGGTCGGCAACCAAAATAACAAGGACCAACTTTTTTCTCCGAGTTTCAAGAGCCGCACCGCAGCCCCCAAAGAGCCGTACGCGGCTCTCGAGCCGCAGGCTTGCCGACCGCTGTTGTAAGATCTCGAGTCGAAAGCGCTCGCCCAGCCGAACTGTTTCTCAACAAGGGGGCAGACGCCTCGCTTCCTGAGAGGCGAGTGAACTTTTGTGCCACGGCATTTGCGAGCGAGTTTATGAGGACAAAAGAGAGGGCGGGGGCCTCACCTCGGCCGACGAGACTCAAAGGGAGACGAAACAGGAATCGTAGAGCTGTGCCCGTTTTCAACGAACGGTGGCTGGAACTAAAGTGGCACAGAAGACCGCCAGGCCAAGGGTCTGGAGCGGGGGTCGGCAAACCTGCGGCTCTTTAGGGGCAGCCATTAAATTTTTTTAACGTAAATATAAAACATTTAACGTAAAGATGATTGAATATGGCAGGAGAATGGGTCACTATGGAATGTCTTGGTGACACAAAAGTGGCACAGAAGACTGCCAGGCCAAGGGTCTGGAGCCGGGGGTCGGCAAACCTTCGGCTCTTTGGGGGCAGCCGTTAAAAAAAAAATGAACGTAAATATAAAACATTTAACGTAAAGATAATTGATTGAATATGGCAGGGCAATGGGTCACTATGGAATGTCTTGGTGACACACAAAATGTACAACAGTCAAACTGTAGTGTTAAAGAATAACTCAGAGGGGTTTGGGGAACTAAATAGACGCGGTTTATTCCATCACCTATTTTGTTAATTTAATTCAAAATGCGTTTTGTCCTCTGCCGTATGCCCGCCGCTGCTGTGTTTCTGTACAAGTGGCTCTGCGCGAGATGCGGCTCCTCAAACCATTTCGATTAAAGACGAAAAAAACGGCTCTCAATCTTTCGAAGAGGTTGTCAGCCCCACTTGTCTGGAGGTATATTTGTGTTTTTATTCAGAGAGGTGCACTTCCTCTCCGATTTATGCCACCCATGAGCCTCGACTACGGCAGCACGATGTTGCTCGTGCACGGTGAGCTTTGACGCGCAAGAATAAGGATGCCCGGCAGATATCTCCTCACGCTCACCCATCCACGTAGAGCAATGCGAAAGCTACTTTTTTGTTTTGATAACACAGTGTGATATATTTCAGAATAACAAAAAAAAACGACGGACAAAAATCGGCATCGTCTTAAAAATCTTCATCGCCACCGTCGGGCCATCATTTTACCGTCAAACGAAGGGGGAATACAAATAAAAAGGGTGAGTTTATGGAGCGGGCTGAAAGCGAAAATAATTTGCCATTTCAGTCCCTCTGCCACTGCATGTGCAACAACAACAACAAAAACAACTTTACATTTGTGTTTTCACTTAATTTGGCAAAACGCCGGCTGGAAGAATAAGAAATATGGGTTTGATTGTCATTCAACAAGCACTTCTCTGCAGCAGAGCGTGTGGGAAAAAGTGCTGTGGCCTCCTTGTGTGTGGCTAAAAGATCACTTGTGAATGAATCTCGGAAGCAGTTCCATGGTGTCTGGTTCCACGGGCCGTTCTCCAACACAGGGTTATAACAGACTGCTCTGCCAGCGTTTCACAGCACAATTGTTATTAAATAGGTAATGTGCAAAACAACATTCTTAATATACCCATCACCATAATCAGTATCATCTGTAAGTTTATTTTTTACTCAATTGGCTGCGTCGTTTGTTTTCCTTCACCAAAAGCTTCGTCCAGATTGCCCATTCGGTCAACACAAAGAAGAACCAGGCCGCGACGTTGCCACTACCCCCTCCCGCTAAGCTCCCCCTCATGATTCCAATTCCTCCCTCTTCACGTAGGCCTCGGCAATTGGGCCCATCCGGCACACCATCTGCGCGCTCAAGGGCTACGGAGCTCAACTCGACGTGGGTACAGTGGCGAGATGTTAACTACCTCGCCTGGTAAACAGGAGGTCGTGGGTTCGGTCCCGACCCCGACGCCTGCTGCTGTATATTTGGAGTTTGCACGTCTCTCTCCCCCCCCCCACCCCCCCCCGTGGTAGTGTGGATTCTTCTCCGGTTCGTCCGATTTTTCCCTCCACGTTTAGAATCACCGCGAGTATTAGGCTGCTATAAATGTCCACGTGATAAGCCGCTTCGTTGCCCTATCATTTGTGGCCAGGTCGTTGTGGAAAAAAAGTGTTACATAGCTCAGTGGCAAAAATAACACACAAAAAAACTTTAATACTTAGTAGGTAGAGGCACGGCGGGGGGTTGGGTGGAAGGGAGCGGTGATTTGTCTGGAAGGAGGCGTCACTCGCGCAGCGCGATGAAGCCCAGCATGGTGCCGAACTCGGAGCCGTCGCGGCGGTACGAGAAGAAGAGCTCCGGGTGGCACGAGGTGCACAGGGTGACGACGCCGGTGTCGGCGTCCCGCTGACCGGGCGCTGTGCCGTCATCGATGTGCTCCGGCAGCACGCCGCTGCGCTCCAGCAGAATCCTGACAAGGGCAGCGCGAACGTCGGTGGATCGACAACAACAACAGCAACAACCACCACCACGACTGCCACGACTACCACCACGAAGATGACCACTCGTATGCAACGCACCACGGGGAAGAGGGAGGCGTGTACCTCTGCATCGTATGTGTGTGTGTGTGTATTTTTAAAGGGGGTCAGGACAGTCATTGGCAGAGGAGAAGAACGTGGACTTGAAGGTGGACAAGGGAATCGACGGCACAGACGGCTGGTGGGGGGAGGGGAGGGGGGAGTAGCAAACTACACGGGAAGCAGATTAGCACGGTTGGCCACATACGGTGTGAAAGAAGTTCAACATATTCTTGGTTCTTTCGGTAAAGTCACGTAGAAGGGAAATAATAAAAATGTAACAATAAAATTCGGTGAGAATTTTGTAGTTTAATTTTTATTATTTCATTATTTCCTTCTACGTGACTTTACCGAAAGAACCAAGAATATGAATCTCTGCAGTCACGAAAGCTTTAAAACGAAGTTCAACATACATACACACAAGGAGCGACCCCCACATCAGTGAACCCAGTAAACCTGTTTATGATCATATCAGAATCAGAATAAATTTTGATTTAAAGCTTTCGTGACTGCAAGGATTCATAATTTTCTTGCTGTGGTTTTCACACCTGATGATGATTGCTTGTGTTGCAGTCGAAACGTCGTGAGAATTTTATTGTTTTATATTTTTATTATGTTATTGTTTCCCTTCTACGTGGTGACTTTACCGAAAGAACCAAGAATAAGAATCAGAATACTTATTTATATTGGAGGAATCCGATGAGCTACAAAGCTCTTTTTTTTCACAGATGCCCAGCAGGACATATGCGTCCAATAGCCAATGTTGGTCCACGATCGTGCACTCGCTACGGCCTCTCGTAACCAAATCAACTTGATGAAGTCTGCCATCTGCGTCCAGGCAAGTCGATTCCGTTGTCGGGTCTCCGTCGCGCTCAACGATGAGGTTCACCCGACCGTTGGTCACCGTCACGCTGGACGATGGCGGGCACTTCGCCCGACGGGTAGCTTCGTCGCGCACTTCACGAACGAAGCTGAACCCTGCGCCTCGTTCGGAACATCCCGGTCGAAACATTTTCCGCATTTATCACAAATAAATACGTGTCAATCCGTCTTGCGGCGGAGCGCGCCTGTGTGTACCGTGTGTACCGGATCTACGTCGAACTTTTTTCGCGCCGCACGTAGCCAATCGCGCAAATTGGAGGTGCGGGTTGGGGGGGGGGCGGGAGGAAGGAAGGACAACAAACTAAAGAAAAGAAGCAGCTCCACAGAGGTGGGTTTAATGTACGTCGAGCTACACGCGTGTGCGTGCACATTCTTGCGCGTGCATTTCGAACTAGGACGGTGTCCTTCACTTTCAGCGCGGGGGACCGCCACACATTCGAAACCGTTGGGCTTGGCACGTCAGCGGGCGCACTGAAGGCGGACCAGGGTCCGCCGGCGGACCTGCGGGCCTTTGCCGATGAAGAACACCGAAACTAGGGGAATGCCGCGAGACCCGTCGCGACGAATCGTTCGTGCTCCCGGCGGCACCTGGTGGCCCTGCGCAGGTCGCCGTTCGTCGTCCCGTCCGCCAGGTGCCGTAGGCACGTCGCGTCGATGGCCGAGAACCGGGCGGCCACCTCAGGGCCCACCTGGAAGCAGCAGGGCCCGATGGAGGGGCCCAGCACGACCCTGAGGTCCCGCGCCGAGCAGCCCAGCTCCGCCACCATGGCGCGCACCGCCACGCCGCCGATGTCCCCCACGGTGCCGCGCCAGCCTGCCGGGGCACGACGCAACGCCGGCACGCGCACACACACGGTGACTAAGACCCCCCACGTGTAGCCCACACACACACAGTGACTAAGATCCCCCTCACGTGTAGCCCACACACACACACGGTGACTAAGATCCCCCACACGTGTAGCCCACACACACACACAGTGACAAACATCCCCCCGTGTAACCCACACACACACACGGTGACGAAGATCCCCCACGTGTAGCCCACACACACACACAGTAACTAAGATCCCCCACGTGTAGCCCACACACACACACACAGTGACTAAGATCCCCCCCACGTGTAGCCCACACACACACAGTGACTAAGATCCCCCGTGTAACCCACACACACACACAGTGACAAAGACCCCCCACGTGTAGCCCACACACACACACACACAGTGACTAAAACCCCCCACGTGTAGCCCACACACACACACAGTGACTAAGACCCCCCTCCCCGTGTAGCCCACACACACACACAGTGACTAAGACCCCCCACGTGTAGCCCACACACACACACACAGTGACTAAGACCCCCCTCCCCGTGTAGCCCACACACACACAGTGACTAAGACCCCCCACGTGTAGCCCACACACACACACAGTGACTAAGACCCCCCTCCCCGTATAGCCCACACACACACAGTGACTAAGACCCCCCCGTGTAGCCCACACACACACAGCGACAAAGACCCCCCCCCCCGTGTAGCCCACACACACAAACACTTTTGGGACAAGTGCTGTTTGCAAAACTATAAAAACAAATTGGTTTTACTGAACTCCTTGACCTGCACCACAGCATCAGCAGGTCCTCATCAAACAGTGGACTGACAAAAGTCTGTACATGCACGCCTACATTTTAATAACAGGGCTCCGTCATGGGCGGAAATGTCTTGAGTCTCGACTTGGAGAGGAATTGGGCAGCTGGACTGGCTGGAACTGGGATTCCAGACGCCAGGGACAGCAACAGAGCACTAGCAAACTCCCATTGAGCAGTGGTTTTGGAGAGAAGGCCTTTATTACTCGAGTGGAGAGCATGTGGGCGGACGTATAATGATAAGAAACAAATAAAACGAAAACTAAAGAAGTAGTTTATTTTACTAGGTAGGGCCCCACTGAACTATACAGCTCTTTTTCCAGAAGCGACCTGGCCACAAATGATAGCTCAACGAAGTGGCTTGTCATCGCGTGGAAATTTATAGCAGCCAAATACTCTGAACGCATTTTGTTTCTAAATGTGGAGGGAAAAACCTGAGGACCCGGAGAAAAATCTACGCGACCACGGGGAGAGAGACACGCCAACTCCAAATATACAGCAGCAGGCGTCAGGGTTGGGATCGAACCCACGACCTCCTGTGCACCAAGCGAGATAGTTAACATCTCACCACAGCAAGTACCTATTAAGGTCGGCACTGCACACAAAGGGGTGGTGTAGCCAGCACCATGCCAGGTCGCCTTTCTCTCCCTTTGGCAATGTTTACACACCGCACCGGGTACACATTTGAGTCTGAGTCGACCTAGAGGAAGCCCAGAACCGGGAACAGGTAATTGTCACTGGTGTTGGCCGTGAGCGGGAATCTAATTCTGGTTTGCCGGGTTCGTAGCGCCGCGCGCTAACCACCACACTACCACTCCCAACAGCACACACACACACACGTGCACGCACACACACGTGGACACACCACTCACGTGCTCTGTGTGTGGCGTGTATGAGCTGTTTAGGGTGTGGATGGGTTCGTCGCGTCGTAGCAGGGTCGCGTGTGTTGTGGATGATCTGGGCACGTTGGGTCCATGGCAGCACGCGTGTTCGTGTCCGGGCAAGCGAGCGTGTGCGTAGTGCCCGGTGCGGCGCGTTGCGTTGCCGTGGCCGCGCCTGGCTACGCGTGGCGAGTACCCGAATGCACGGCGCCGCACGCCCCGCGGACGGGGTCGGCCAGCAGCAGCGGGATGCAGTCGGCGCCCGGCGCGCCAAGCGTCACGCCGGGCCGCGCCGTCAGGAGCCCGTCGTACTCCGCCGGCTCCTCGGGCCCCAGCACCCACACCGCGGTGCTGTGGCACACCTGGTGCGACACGGCAACGTCATAACCGGTGTGCGTGTGGGGTCCGTGTGGGGTCTGTGTGTGGGGTCTGTGTGTGGGGTCTGTGTGTGGGGTCTGTGTGTGGGGTCTGTGTGGGGTCTGTGTGGGGTCTGTGTGGGGTCTGTGTTGGGTCTGTGTGGGGTCTGTGTGTGGGGTCTGTGTGTGGGCCGTGTGGGGTCCGTGTGGGGTCTGTGTGGGTCCGTGTGGTGTCTGTGTGTGGTCCGTGTGTGGTCCGTGTGGGGTCCGTGTGGGGTCTGTGTGAGGTCTGTGTGAGGTCCGTGTGTGTGGGTCCGTGTGGGGTCTGTGTGGGCTCCGTGTGGGGTCCGTGTGGGGTCCGTGTGGGGTCCGTGTGGGGTCTGTGTGGGGTCTGTGTGAGGTCTGTGTGGGGTCTGTGTGGGGTCTGTGTGGGGTCTGTGTGGGGTCTGTGTGGGGTCTGCGTGGGGTCCGTGTGGGGTCTGTGTGTGGTCCGTGTGGGGCCCGTGTGGGTCTGTGTGTGGGGTCTGTGTGGGATCTGTGTGGGGTCTGTGTGGGGTCCGTGTGGGGTCTGTGTGGGGTCTGTGTGGGGCCCGTGTGGGGTCCGTGTGTGGTCCGTGTGGGGCCCGTGTGGGGTCTGTGTGTGGTCCGTGTGGGGCCCGTGTGGGTCTGTGTGAGGTCTGTGTGGGGTCTGTGTGTGGTCCGTGTGGGGCCCGTGTGGGTCTGTGTGAGGTCTGTGTGGGGTCTGTGTGTGGTCCGTGTGGGGCCCGTGTGGGTCTGTGTGAGGTCTGTGTGGGGTCTGTGTGTGGTCCGTGTGGGGCCCGTGTGGGGTCTGTGTGTGGGGTCTGTGTGGGGTCTGTGTGGGTCTGTGTGTGGGGCCCGTGTGGGGTCTGTGTGTGGTCCGTGTGGGGCCCGTGTGGGGTCTGTGTGTGGGGTCTGTGTGGGGTCTGTGTGGGTCTGTGTGGGGTCCGTGTGGGGCCCGTGTGTGGGCCGTGTGGGTCTGTGTGTGGGGTCTGTGTGTGGGCCGTGTGGGGCCCGTGTGTGGGCCGTGTGGGGCCCGTGTGTGGGCCGTGCGTGTCGCCGTGCCTTGGGAGTGCGGAGCGAGTCGAGCGCGAAGCCCGCGGCCTGCGCCAGGCGCCGCTTGTTCTCGACAGTGGCGCCCGGCGGGTCGCGCCGGCGCACGGAGCGCGACAGGTTCAGAGAGCTCATCCCAGGCAGGTGAGACACGCCGCCCTGGCGCGTGCTGAACCCGTGCAGGAACCGCTCTTCTGCACGTCACACACGCCGCACGGACGCGCAAAGACGCAAGACTGTGTCACCTGTGTCACCTGTGTCGCCTGCACGGGCTGCTGGGGCAAGTGCTGTTGGTGGAGCAACGATGAACGGGCTAGAATAGGCGCACAAAGGGGCGGTGTTGCCCAGCGGTATGCCCGGCCGTCTTTGTCTCCCCAGTGCTCTTGTTTAACACGCCGCGATGGAACACGGGGGAGGGGTGGGGTGGGGTGCCCCGTGGCGGGCACGGCCACGCCGTTGGGACGAGGGGACACTCACCTGGGATGAGCGGCGAACGCAGAACGCGCACCGGTCCCATAATGGCGGGCAGGCCTCTGAAGCAGGCCTCGACGTCGGCGCGCACGGCCGCCAACTCGGCGGGGCTCAGCACGCTCGGCACGCCGGGCCCCGTGGCGGCCACCTCGACATCGTACACGGGCGTGAACATCTCGGCCGCGTAGGCGCCCAGCAGCGCCGCGCGGTGCCCGCCCGTGACCACGGTCACCCTGGCGAGCGCCAGCTCGTCCACGCGGCCCTTGGCGCGGTAGAAGAGGCGGGCGACGCTGTCGTCGCGCAGGACGTAGCACGGCGGCGCCAAGCCCGGGGGCTCGGCCGCGGCCGAGTCCTTGAAGGCGGCCGTCACGGCGGAGGCGGCGGCGTCGTCGTCGTCGTCGCGAGGAGAGCAGAGCACGAGGAGGAGCGAGGGGCGGCCGCGGCCGGAGGAGAGACGCGGGGCCGCCGGGAGGAAGGAGGCCGGGTCAGCTCGGAACCCCGGCCCGAGGCCGGGAAGGTCGAGCAGCAGCGCTTCTCCCGCCATTGCACCTGACGAGACATTTATCACTCGGCTCACGCGTCGCTCGCTCACTCGCTCGCTCGCTGGGACGGCCACCGAAAGAGCGATGGTGGCTTCTGCCAGGGAAACATAGCGAGGGTGGGCAGAAACGAATTCCACAATCCGAGAATGTGACCACCACCACCACCACCACCGCCGCCGCCGCCACCACCAACACCGCCACCGCAGGTATTGTGGTCAATGCAAACACGACTCCTCGTAAAAAAAAGGTGTCAGTTTTGTTGCCAGATAAAAGGGTAAAAAAAACAATTATCATAGTTGGTTAGGGTTAACGTCGGCTACTTACTCGTGGTGGGTGAGCTGGTTACGATTAATGAGATGGCTACTTACTAGTGGTGGGTTAGCTAGTCGGTTAGGGCTCGTGCTTAAGGGGCCGTCCATAAATGACGTCACGCACCTAGAGGGGGGTCAGACATTTGTGACGATGTGTGACGAGGGGGGGGGGTGAGAAATGTGACGTCACATCAAAATGTGCAACTTTAAATAAATATAGACAACACGTTCTACTTAATTAAATAGACGTTTTAATAAATGCTTTCTCCTACAACATCAAAGTGCAGCGCCACACTAAATACGCACTACAATGACAATAGTTTAAAGCGATTTGAAGCATGTTTTTTGGGGGGGGGGAGCAGAGCATTGTGACGTCATATTTGAGGGGGTGGGGTCTGACTTTTTGTGACGCCGTGTGACGATGGATGGGGGGGGGGTCAAAAATCGTCCAAAATCGCGTGACGTCATTTACGGACGGCCCCTAATAGCGGTGGTTGAGCTCGTTGGTGAGGGTTAATGAGAGCTACTTACGAGTCGTGGGTTCGCGAGGGGGATACTTTACTTACACGTGGCTGGCCGGCTGGTCGCTTGTGGACAGGATCCAGTGCAATGGCTGGCGCTCGGTGCTGGATGGATAGGGAGAGTATATTTCTATGCCACCAAAACAACAGCATCGGCGATCTCTGTGGGGCTATGGGCAGGCCCGATAGTACCCGGGACAAGCCGTGGTGACGATTGTAATGTCGTTGACGCAGGATCCCTCTCGACAAACGAGACTCCCGCCTGCACCTCCGACGAGCGCCGTTGCCTTACGTACGGCGCGAAAGAAGTTCGACATGCAGTGGGTACATACACAGGCGATGGACTCCGCAGCGACGTCCTGGCTCTCTTTGAGTTGGTTTAACGAAAATCGACGTGACTGGCCCCTAGCTTCAGTGAAACAGCCGGGGGTCTGGGCTTACATTGCTCCATCCCCGTGCAAAATAAAAAAAAATACACGGACGGACATCCAACTTGTACTTACCCCCCCCCCCCAGCTTCCTCATTGCGAACAACTCGAGCCAATTGGCTGACTTCTTGTTTCCTGGTTGCCGGCAACTTTGCCCCAGAAGCAGATGGCGGATTGCACCATCTGCTGTCCGCGAAAGTGGATATCGATATGGTGGGATCTTTCTTGCCAGTATCAAAATATTTCAATAGGTTTAACCCTTTCTGGGAATAAAACAGGTGTGTTAAGACGTTAAAACACCAAACAATCCCTTTTCAAGGACAGGATTCCTTGAGATCGTCGAACGAATAAGTACAGATTATTTTTTACAAGATTAAAATATAATTGTGTAAAAACTTAAACTATAAATTAACAAATTAAAATTACAAGATTAATTTTAAAGTGTTTGACAAATCAAATTGTATTATTTCTGGGGTTAAAAGAATTTGGATGCGATTGATTTTAGAGAAAATTATAAACATCGAAAGGAAACCACCTACTTTTATTCAGCACATCAAATTTTATTAATTCTGGGGTCGAAATAATTATTTTTTACTTTTTAGTGCAAGTAAAAGCGTGTGCATTGAAAAACTATATTTTTTTACCAAATATATTTAGACTTAAATCTTAAACATTATTTTACGCGAAGATAAGTGATGAAATATGATAGGGAATGGAGTCCGCAAAGGAAAGTATACAAACGGTATTGTGGCTCATGCAGACATGAATCCTCGTAAAAAGGTTTCAGTTTTGTTGCCAGAAAAAAAGGGGAAAAACCCTATTATTACATTTTAGTACTGGCAAAGGAGGTCTAATATAGGTTTTTCTTATTCACATTCTTTGGGTCTTTCGGTAAAGTAAGGTAGATAGGTTCAAAGAAAATAACAAAAAACGACGACGTTTCGATCGCAACACAAGCGGTCATCATCAGGTGGAGAAGAAGGTTTTTCTTAATGAAGACACCAGATTTTCAGAGGTCATTCAGAACAGTCCCACCGAATGGAAATGTCACGAACCGCCACTGCATCCGCCGTATGCTGCTACTGTTGCAAGTAGTTCCGCGAGTGATGCGGCGATCGAACTATTTTTTTTGGTTAAAGACAAAGAATCCCGTAAAAGAGGAATGGCTCTCCTTCCTTCTTTGAAAGATTGTCATACCTGTGAACCTCTGATTAGTGTCTACCTTATTGCAGACCAATTCAGACCTTATTGGTAACCCCGTGACCCTTATGAATCTCAACGTTCATCTTACAAAGTCCCTGAACAAATGGAGAAACACAAATATTTTTTTTTGTTCCCCGTATTGAAACGGCTGTATGCCGTATGGATCTGAAAACTCAATTTCTCTGTACAAGAATACGGGGTAAACCGTATGGGTTGACAGGTATGTCATACACTACAATATACACTACAGGATACACTACGCTATACACTACATTATACACTATACCATACCTGTGAAACCCTTATCAGTGCCTACCTTATTACAGACCAATTTTAAACTTATTGGTCAGCCCGTGCCCCTTATAAATCTCAAGGTTCATCCGACAAAGTCACCATCACAAGGGAGAAACACAAACAAATAGACAAAAATTATGTTACTAAAATTCTTTTTTGTTGTTGCCCGTATTGAAACGGCTGTACGCCGTATGGACTTGAAAACTCTATTTCCCTGTACAAGGATACGGGGTAAACCTTGTGGGGTTGACACGGTGTGGGTTTCTGACCCGTCGTGGACGCTCCTGCTGCTGCTGCGTTGTTAGCGGTGCTCAAAATTAACAAAACCTCAACACGTGAGTCAATCATTGCCACGCCGTGTGGACTCAATATTGAACAAAAACGAATTGTTCAGGCGACAAAGTCACTGCTGGACGAAGGCTTCCCTCCCATTGTTGCGCGCGTTTGACCGAGCTGGTCAGTGCGAGGGTTGCTGTGAGCCCGAGGGTCCAGGAACCGGTTCGGATATCACCCGCTCACGTGTGCGAGCTCGTGAGCGAGGATCGAACTCGGGAAAGCAAGGGTTCGTAGCCGCAGCGCGCTAACCGCTGCGCCACCGCTCCATATTTACGGTGTCGTCTGCGCTCTACAAACGGAAGAGCAAAACGAGAGGAACTCTCTCTGCTGAAGCCATCTCGCCCTGACCAGCAGCAGACCTCCACATTGGCAATTCATCTCGCGAGTAAACAGGATTGCCGTACGCAAGAAGACAGATTCATGGAGACCCGTAGAGATGCCTAGCTGCTCATAGAAACCCATTAAAGACAAACCACACAGTACGTAAAGTTAATGGGATTGTGGACACACAACGCAAACCATGGACCGAATAGTGAACCGCGCATCTGATGAGCGCGGTTGGCTACGTGCGGTGCGAACGAAGCTCAAGATGACATCGACTGTAGTCTGCACTCCTTCAACAGAGGAGGAAGAGCAAAACGACACCGACCTCTCTCCTGAATCCCTCTCGTCCTGCCCAGAAGCAAACATCGACTCTTGAATCACAATGCCGCCACAATAGGTGAGAATAAGAAGTCCACGCGGACACACGCGCGGACTTCTTCATTCACACCCCCCCCCCTCCCCGCAGGACTCATTCATTCACACCCCCCCTCCACCCAGGACTCATTCATTCACAACCCCCCCTACCCCCAGGACTCATTCATCAGCGGTGCCGCATGGCGGCTCACCTGGAAAGCGGTGGCCTGAAGAACGACGACGATGATGATGGAACCACACAAGATTGATGGAGCGCTTGAAGCGGTCCTATCGTGAACGAGTCTGCCACGTGCGCTGTGACCAACTACGAACCGCTTGCCCCGGCCGCTCGTGATCTCTCGTGTCGACGAGCACGCGTTTCACTTCCTCGGCAGCGAGCCGCTGCTCACCCACCCCTTGTTTGTCCAACTCGGCGCGAACGACACGACGTCGGACTGTACCCCTGGTGTCTTTTATATATACACACACACCATACACACCGTCTACTCGACTTCCTCTGTGACTCCGTCAAGACAACAGAAAGATCACAGTCGCGAAACGTCAGTCATCACGACAGCCCCAGGCCGTGGGGGATTTACCAGACCGTTCGATCGACTCGACGATGAATTTGCCTGCAATTCAAATATACGAGGGGGGAAAACTATAACTTCCCCCCATTAGGATGGAGTGGTGGCGTTAATGGTTAGCACTGCACTTCAGCGATAAACATAGCTTCCTGATCCATAGTAAAGGTTATTTCTTGGGGGTTATATCGCGTAAATGTGTCGTTAAACCCATCACCACCCGACACAGACGATTCGTAAGGTTTGTCACGTAAACTAAAAAAAAACATTGGATGGATTTTGGTCGCGAAAACCAACGTGTTAAACGAACCGAGCGTCCAGAGTTTGATTCCCAGCTCATGTCAAGTGAGATACTCTTTGGTGATTTCGGTAAAGTCACGGAGAAAGAAAACAAATAGCATACGACGTTTCGATTGCAACACAAGCAATCATCACTAGGAACAAATGAAAACAAACCGAGTAAACTTTGTGTCTCCGTGTCTGTGTAGCTCTCTCTCTCTCTCTCAAAATTTCACACTTAAATTCTAATTTAGCAGTCTTTGGAAGAACGTAATCAACCAGGCTATACGTTGCGTTGACCGACTCTGTGTTGCATTGCATTTCCAAATTTTGCTAAGTTTGTTTAAGTGTGTTTTCTCTGTCCTCGTGTTGTATTTCCTGCAGTCACGAAATCTCCAAATCTCTCCTTGACATGCTAATTTCTCTACCCCCCCCTCTCTATTTAAGGCCTCGACACAGAGGCGTTGTTTCTGTGTGCCTGTATTCTCTGTCTCTGTTATCTCTCTCTGCTTGTGTCTGTGTCTCCGTGTCTGTGTTTTGTCTCTCTCTCAAATTTAGCAATCTTTGGAAGAACGTAATCAACCAGGTAGGGTGTTGACTGTTGTGTTAGCCGACTCTCTGTGTTGTGTTGCATTATATTGCTAAGTTCACTAGGTTTGTTCTCTTTCATTTGTACCTGATGACGATTGCTTGTGTTGTAATCGAAACGTCGTATGCTATTACTTAATTTATTTGTCTTTCTACGTGACTTTACCGAAAGAACCAAAGAGTAATTCCTGCAGTCACGAAAGCTCCAAATCTAGTCAAGTGACATCTCAACGAATCAGGGCGGCCAACGTCACCAACCGGCGTGAAGTATGGTCAAACCCGCCCTCGCCTTTAAAACCACACATCTAGCAGCATCTGCTTTAGAAAACTCGAGACCGATTGCAGATGTGGGTCTTCAACAAATACCGCTGGGTTTCTAAATGCTCTTGGTCAGAGCGAACCGTATCAGAACATTACATGGATAGCTTATGTACATGTTTCCTCTGAGACCGTAGCAGGGTTGCCACGTGTCCAAAATTAAGCCGAACAGTCCGGGAATTGGCATGGGTATTCGAGTGGCAGGAAGCGATTTGTACCGACATATGGCACTGGTATTGTGAACGTTATTACAGCATTCTGCATCATATTGATATTTGATTTTGTTTCATTATAAGATAACTCAAGAAACTAGGTCAGTCTCATTTCCATTCGTCTGCTAATAGTCGGTGGTTGTTGCTTTGTATGCTCCAAATTGATTTGCAAATTTGGCAGTATTTAATCCAGACGGTGTATTATTGTTGTAACGTTCTGACCCCGTGCCCCTAATGGACATGTGGAAAAGAGCTTTATAGCTCATCGGATTTCGCCAGTCGAAGTACATATTCCAGTTCTGATTGTTTTAAGGGCCGCAGGAATAACCATGGGGGCTGCTGGAATCGAACAGCAAACGTATTGCAAAAATTATCGGACACGCCACCGCGTTAGGCTGACCAATGGATATGTCCGAGTTGGGCACTGGCCTCAATGGAAAGCATGGCCTGGGGAACTCGGGAGGGGGGGGGGGGTCCGAATTTCAGAACGAGGGTCATAAAAGTGCACACAGAATAATGCATTTGCCCCGAGTTTGTAAAAAAAAAGAAAACGCGTTTGGCAAGTTATGGTTACACAAGGGTATTTGTAAGACATCTGATTTGCACGTCATGTGACATTGGCCAACGTCCGCACATGTTAGAAATGCTGTATTTTCATTTCTACATTGGGGAAGTTCTTGCTACGTCATATTCGCGTAAATACCGCGAGGTTTTTTGCATTAGGGAATGCACCTTAGTTTCCGTGACGCAATGGCGGCTTAGCCAAGCGTACATTTCATCTTCTTTCGCACAGTACGTAGCCAGATTTAAGACACTGGATCCAAACTTGTGTATACATGACGATAACTTTGCATTCATTTGACGTAGCCAAACCTTTGTTACTTCCTCTTTACCCACAACCCATGACTGTGAATAATGCATCTGTACAATGTTACTGTAATGCGGTGCTCGTGTTGATAGCTCGAAACCCAGAAGCATTTCCCAGTCCAAACTGCTGAGGCTCCGAATGTCATCACTGGCTCATTTTGCTGCCGGAAAAAAAACATTAGCTCAGCAGCCCAATGGGTAGATGGACATTTTTTTTTAATTTCACGTGGCAAAAGCTTTTGTATAATCCTGTCAGGGTTCCACTTTTGAGTCTACAAACCCAAATGTACTTTTATTCGAAGTTTACAAACAATAATCCATTGGTAAATAGGTGCACTTCCTTTTGGCAAGTCATGTAAAAGGTAGCAAATGAAGTTGCATCGACTAGAGGTGCTTGGCAGTATTCGGGCCTGCCATTTCAACTTGGCCAGATGTCCTAACAGAAGTGGGAGAGAGTACCCACTCAACCAGTAACCTCCCTATCAAGTGTGTTGTACCCATTTCTAATGCTGGGTAGAGGTGCAGGGACAAAAAAAATACAATAATTGTTTCAACCGCCTCGTCAGGATATCGAATTGCACCGACGACCTCTGGATCGCGCATCTGTGGCCACAGGAATACACAACACAAAAATACACGTGATCGCTGAAAATGGAACGAACTTTAAATGCAGCATTGTTAGACACTAGTAGGCGGCGCTTGGAACTAGCGTGAGATTGAGGCAAAACACAGACTGGAGTATGTAGTGACAAGAAGCAATCACCCATGGTATGACGTTGAGTTTATGGTGAAACACCACGAAAAGCATGTTCATAATAAGTACAATAACACGTCCACACACACACACTCTGGATTCAACTGCCACACACCCGGTGTATGACTATATATTTTACTTGTTTTAAAAACACCCGGGACGTTGGTAAAAACTGTGCATGATGACTTGTGTAAGTTTGTATTTAACCGATATAAACCGATAGTAGAAAAGCACGTAAAAAAATAATTGTCAAAAGAGCGTTTTCACGGATGACAAAAAGAATGCCGAGACGCAAAGAGCCCAACAGTTGTTATTTATTTAAACTTTGCAACGCATACAATTAGATTCGTGATGGGTACAGCATCTGAAAAAGAAAAAAAAATTAATCACAAGTCATAGAAAAGCATTTCCATAGTCGAGCCACAAGCACAATGATAAAAAATGTAACTTCACAAAAGTAAGCATTTATTTACAACGATGTCAAAGAATGCACGTGATGTCCATCACTCATTGCATAGGTGTCAAAATCGTACAGCAGTTGACTTTAGACATTACTGTGGGTTTTCCGTCAGTGTTCCACTTTCATACCAGCGAGATCTGATTAAATGGATTCGAGCCAAAAAATAAAAAAGGCTCAAAGCAATCCCACAGGGGATTTTTTCTGGAGTGCCTTTCTAGTGTTTAAGAGTGCATAGAACCGTCAACGTGATGCAAACGATACATCAGCTTGTGTATGTAAACATTATTTAGATTTTTTTTAAAGTTGCATGTAACGCATTCACACGACTTCCGCAGCCACTGGAGGCATTTAATTAAAAAAAATCGTAATTTTAAATTCGCGGCCCCAAATCGTACCAATTAATCAAATTGCAAAGAAGGCTGAATCATACCAGGCCTTCTCTCAAAGCAGCACTCCACCCCCCATACCATTTGACCTTATGGAGGCAAGAAAATTTGGCATAAACTATAATGAGACAGAAGTCTCGGTTTTCCCCCGTGGCTCACCACTCTGATGCGGTGCCCCATGGCCTTGCCGGGCAGGTTCTTGCGGAACTTGGCGCGCACCACGCCGCTGTTGCCGTGGGAACGCATCACCTTGCCCCAGATGACGCGCGTCTTGTTGGGCTTTCCTCCCGGCGTCAGCGTGTTCCTGCGACGAGCACGACGTTAAGCAGCGCTCCATAACAACACAGCCAAGCGACCCTCCCAAAGCCAGGTCACGTGGGTTGTATGGAATGACCGGATTATAACAATGTACAGCCCAGTTTAACACGTAATTATTACTGGCAAACACTAATTAGAGAATCCATTGAAATTGAGAGGAATAGAAATAACTTTAATCGCTCTGACAGCTACAGGCTTAGTGCGGCATGGAAGCGTATTATTAAATAATACATATTACAATTCCTTATAGGGGAAACACATACTAATTAACGGATTACTAACGTAGCATATAATCACAATAACACACATTACAACTAATTACTAATCTACAACTCATTACTAATCATAACCATTGACTGATTACCAATCGATTATATAATTACAATACCCCCCCCCCTCCGCCTCAAATCACTGCACCTGAAATGAGTTAAATGATGACGTCACCCTGCTGCTCTATTTAAGACCGGGAGCAAGTGAGGGCTTTACCATTCTGGCGAATTGCCCGATGATGCTGGATGTAATTACCAGCGAAACGTCGTATTCAAACTGTAAATGTTGTGGATTCACTCAACACACAGGTGGGCTAAAGAAGTGAACTATTTGTCTTTTGTCAACGTGACACTTTTTTTCTGATTGGCCGTGTCGGGTGGTGGAGGGTTACGACACATTTATAAATGACGCGATCTAACCCAAAAACCTATATTATGAATGTACAGCCCCTTGCCCCGCACCTCCGATGTGCACCGTTGGCTACATATGGTGCAAAAAAAAGTTCGATGAAAGATAAATCGTCGACCGACTGCTGGGTAAATGCCATGAGGGTCGTGGCTGTTACGAGTCTATAGTTCACCATGCTTATCAGTGCAGGGGGAAGGTGAGGAGCATAGACTATGGAGCAGAGAAGTACAACACAACAGCGGATTTTGCTGTACTGGCTTCTGCGGCCCACAAATGTAGGCCGCAAACATGACAACCTGTTTGTGCATGGTGGTCAGCGATCCAAGGACTCTATACACAGGCTGAAACCTGCTTGCCTTCTCAGATGCCATAATCCCACACCAAGTAGCACTTCAGCACACGTTAAACATTTGCTCCTTGTTTTCAAGGTTTCATAACTTCCGTTGAGGTGAATTTGGTTGAGGCGAAAGCACCACTCATTGGTGCCGTTTGAAGCAAGAGAGAATGTACACACCGAGGTGTACACAGCTTGTTTGTATGCATGCTGAACTTCTTTCGCGCCGTACATAGCCAACCTCTCGAACCGGAGCTTGTATTAACTACAGCTTACACTACAGCCCTCAATGACACTTTTGGTGATAGAAGTTTCTGGATATGCTGTGGGCATGTCAGTAGAATGCACCACTGCATTGTACTTCTCTGCTCCTCACCATCGTGTACTGATTGGCGTGTTCAAGTCTGTTCAATTAACCAAGACGACCCGCACAGCACGACGAGATTCTCATTCGGTAGCGATGGCCCTTCGAAACAAGGAGACCCGGATTTGACCACTGGAAATTGCCCTGACAAAGAAACAACACACCTCCCAAAAATTCGAACTTTTGCAGCACTTGTAAACGAGACCACATTACCCCTCCCCCCCCCCAATGCTCAAGATTCTTTCACCAACCTCCGAATTTAGCCTTCAGTCAACTACGAAAGCGCCCACATGTCTTTACGCGACTTCGTGGACCTGTCCTTACTTAATTTGTCTCTTATCATTATACTTCTTCCCACATGCTCTCCACTCCAGTAATCAAGGCATTATCTCAATACCCTCAACCTGCTGCTGCGCAATGGGAGCTGGAGACTTTTCTGTTGCTGTCCCTGTAGTCTGGAATGCCAGTTCTAGTCATTCCAGCTGCCCAATTCCTGCCTAAGTCGAGGCTCAAGAAATGTATACCCATGACTGACCCATGTTATATAAAATGCAGGTGTACACGTAGACTTTTGTCAGTCCACGGGTAGATGACCTGCTTTTGCCGTGCAGGTCAAGGAGGTTACATGACCATACTTCACCAGACTGGTCAAAATTGCGTGAGGGTTGGAATAAATAGATGTGGGAGCCTAGTACAATACAACAATGCACATTTGTGCATTGTTGTATGCACATTTGTGCATTGTCCCGTCGCTCACCACGTAACTCCGCAACCGGTAACCACCTGCCGTGTCGTGCTCCAAGCGCTAAACAGGCTCAATTCTGCGTAGGAGCGGATCCGTTTCTAGCGGTTCCCTGCGATGTGACCATTTATGTTGCTGCATGGTCTCGAGATGCAGCTGCATCTACAGACGCTGCACAAATCCCCAAAAAAACGGATTTTTGTTTGTGCCGTAAACGCGCTCCCGCCACGTACTTGCGCGCCTTGTAGACGTAGGCGCAGCGCTTGCCGAGGTAGAAGCCCGTCTCGCCGCGTGTGTACACGCCCTCGATCTTGAGCAGTGCGGTGTGCTCATGCTGGTTTCGCAGGCCACGTTTGTAGCCCGTGAAGATGGCCTTGCACCACAACCTGCAGCCGGGGAGGGGAAGCACAGTAGGCTCTCGTCACGAAACACAGGACCGGTCCCGCCCCCTCCGCCCGCCCAACTTATGGCTGCTCGACTTAGGAACGAGCTTCCAAAAGATATTTATTTTCTTAACCGTCCGACTTGTAACAACGAACCGCGGCAACTACTTAGTTTTACACGCAAATGTACAATATGACTTATTTATGAGTTTAACAATGCACCCTTCTTTTGTTGAACTCTAACACATTTTATAATAACGCTGCCTGTATGTGCATTTAAATATAGTGCACTGTGTTACATCTTACGAACGGGACTTGAGAACGGAACCCCCCGGTCGTAAATCGGGAAGCACCCGTAATGAGCAAGATACTTCGTCTTCACATATTCCTCTTTCCACATTAAAGTATTTCTTACGCAAACCATCGGTTGAATGGCCTTCTGGGAGTGCATAATTTAAACAGCACTGTGTCATCAGCATTACTTATTTAGTAATTAAACTCTTATTTATTGATACTCTCATTTTGTAATTATACTTTCCACGAAGCGAATGATAGTATTCAAAATCTCGTAAGTTCGACAGACACCAGGGGCCCCCAAGTAATCCTCTTCAAGAATGTTGATTACTAATTCGTTATTTTTCCTACCAGTTTTATGAGGATTGCGCTATCGGCGTCGCGAGACGCTACGATGCATTCGGATCGTCGGGCAGAGAGCAGTGCACCAGTTCGCGTTGCGAGTAGGGTCCAGGGAAGCTTTCGTCAGAGCTATCCTCCCTACTCGTAGCTAGGTCTGCACTGGAATCAGCACCTCTAATCTCGCTGTGTTCGTGGCATTGACCAAAGTGCTAGTAAATCAAGATGAATAGTTAATTAGCGGCACAAGGAACACGCCAACGGATGTGGCTGCACTGCCTTTACGCTGGCAACGTTTTCCCACGTGTAAAAGTTAAGACGGACAACGGGGCCTGAGGTTCGGTCTAAGTTTATCAATATGTTGCAAGATATTTAACAGCTGCAGCGTTGCCTACAGGCGCGCTTGCTAGATATTTATAGCTCTCGCCATCGGGTGAAACTCCATATTACTATGACGGGGGCACGTAAGTGTATTACATCGGGCCGGCAATGTGAAACGCACGTATGTTTGCACTGCTCAGGAGGCGCCAAACTCCATGCCTAACAACCACCATTCGACAACAATACAACAGAAACGCGCAGCTAATGTGTTTTTTTTGTCAATCCGCTGTTAGGACGAGGGCCCTCCCCACGTCTTTCGGGTCGCGGCGGGTAGTGGGGTGATCAGACCACACCGCTCGCTCAACGCGGCTCTGTTCAGAAGGCGGGCAGAGCGTGCACGCGTGAGCCGCGGGCGGCTTAGCGCGTGGGGGACGTTCGCTGCGGTTGCCGCCTGCTGCCGTGCGGCCCCGAAACCTCCGAACACCGGGGTTGGTGAGTTCCACCCAGCATCCGGGCTCAACGACCCCCCCCTTGGCCTCATCTTCAGATACCGACTTGGCCACGGGGCAAACAGGCGCGCGTCCTTTAATTGCCGCTAAATAAATTGAACGATTAAAACGTGTCACGTTTTTGTTTTTATGGTACGGGGTTTTTAAAAAAGAAAAGAAAAATCACACGTGGACGCGGCCTATCGAGCCCAGGCTTCGCCTAGCAGCGCCAACACGGCGCACGCCCGCCGGCGTACCGCCACCGATCGAGCGAAGCGATTTACGAACACGCACAAACAAGCAAACATAACGCGGGTAAAATGGTGAATGGAGTAGGAGAGACCGTACCTGCCAGACATCGCGGCGCTGTATTTCTCTCGATACCTAACGGGGGTGGTGGAACACGAGAGAGGGGGGGAGGTGGTTAGAGAAGCGCGTCAACACCGCCGACCCCAATCCATTCTCAATCGCGGTCAACGCGCAGCCATCCGACCTCGAGTCGCCCGCGCCGACGATCGCGAAGACGTCGGCGACCGTCGCGCGCCGCTCTCGGCGTCGGAGGCGAGCGGGGAGAGCCGCGGGAGAGGCCGCGGCGGGGTGAGGCTCACCTCGGAGCGGCGATGGGAAGCCTCCGTTCGAGTGCGGGAGCGATGGCGGAAAGGGTCCTTGCGCGGGCGTGACGTCACCGAGGCGGTCACGGCGAGGCGTCTGTGCCGCCTGCGAGGTGCCTGCCCACAAATACCACCCCCAGTGCGTCTTGGAAGAGGTGGTAATCACCCACACTTTACCCCACCACTAGCAAAGTAGAACTTTGGTGAACGCACTGCCACTGCTGTTGGGTGGACATAAAATACAATTTTTTTTTACCAGGTAAGGGCCCACTGAGCTGTGAATAAATATTTCTTTTTCAGAAGCGACCTGGTCACAAATGATAGCTCAACGAAAGTGGCTTATCGTGTGGAAATGTATTGCGGCTAAATACTCTAAACACGTGGTTATTCTTAACCTGGGATGCACGCACTCCCTAAAAATGCGATATGCCCTTTCTGTGGGTGCGAGACGTGGCCAGATTGTTTTAGAAAGTAAATCACCGAAACACAACTTAGGACTTAGGGGCCGTCCATAAATGACGTCACGCGATTTTGGACGATTTTTGACCCCCCCCCCTCTCGTCACACGGCGTCACAAAAGTTAGACTCCCACCTCAAATATGACGTCACAAATCTCTGCCCCCCCCCCCCAAAATAAAACATGTTTCAAATCGCTTTAAACTATTGTCATTGTAGTGCGTATTTAATGTGCCGCTGCACTCTGATGTTGTAGGAGAATACATTTATTTAAAAAAAGTCTTTAATTAAGTAGAACGTGCTGTCTATATTTATTTAAAGTTGCGCATTTTTATGTGACGTCACATTTCTCACCCCCCCCCAGGTGCGTGACGTCATTTATGGACGGCCCCTTAAGCACGGGCACGCAAGTACAACTACTTTGTTTCATCAAACCCCTATGTATTTATTTACATTATAATTTTGTTGACAATTGAGAACCAAGGCTGCAGTAAATGTTAAGAACAATTGCTCTGACCGCACGTTGATTCTAAATGTGGAGGGAAAAAAACTAAAAAACCCGGGATGGAACCCACGACCTCCTGCGTAACCAGGCGAGCTAGTTAACATCTCACCGCCGTGGCACCACCATCAGCGTTGAGGTTAGTTACCAGCCAAGAGATCGAACCAGTAAACTGCAATACAATCCCATGTGATAACCATCACACCACAAGGATAGCGGTGGAAATACTATTACTGTTATTTTTTCCTTAACCTTTTATTTGCATAAGCTCACCGAATTGCAACTTTACAGATTTAATTCCTCCGGCTGCCGCCGTGGCAACAATCGGGACGATTAGTCACCCAGTGCTGCCCCAGACGCGTGGGTGTTTGACCATACTTCACCACGCCGGTTGAGGTTGATGGACGCGGGAATCCCAGTATCGGCTCAAGTATCACTCGCGACTGATGCAGCCGTGGGCAGAAATCGAACTCGCGAGGCTGGGTTTATAGTGAAGTAGAGTCTAAGCAATGTGCCATCGCTCCACCAATCTTTAGAGTATTTGGCTGCTATCAATTTACAGATAAGCCACTTGGTTGAGCTATCATTTGTGGCCAGGTCGCTTCTGAAAAGGCCCAAAGACCATATAGAGCTCATTCGGCCCTACCTAATTAAATACATTCAAAATCTTACAGTGCTCAGATTCCAAGACACCCTGCACGGGAGGTTGTAGAGCATCCCTGTAATCCAGCAGTGGAGGCGACGGTTGGTGAATCACCGCACAAATGTTGTTGTGAAACTCCTTTCCCGTAGGCATCGAGGTGCCATACCCTGGCTTGCCAGGAGAAGGCAGTACAGCAAGTGGACTAATCGTCATCTGTTTCCATCTGACGGAGATGTAGTGATTCCCCCTTCGCGTGCGTGTGGGTTTTCTCACACGTGTATAAACTCATCATCAACGTGAAACATCTTCAAATGAAAACCCAATGCAAGACCATCCTGAAAGAGCCATAACGACCTGAGGTGGCTTTACCGCATAAGTGAATTACAATTATAACGCAAGATACAATTTCAAGCATGACAGCAGACAAATAAAGAACATTTTTGTTTTATTCAAGTTAAAACAGCTGGAGTGGGTCTGCTGTTCATAACAATGTACATATTTACAACGCGGTGGGCTGTACTGTGGTACATCATCAGAAGCAGGTCGATGAACGCGGAGAAAGGTGAATGGAGTAATTAATCCATGAATGCCGTGTTCCTCCGAAGCACTGGGCAACGTGCTGGCTCAATCCGCTATCCGCAATAGCCAGATCAGGGGGCACAGAGATCCGCGTACTCATTATAATCACACCAAGCACGCAAATACACGAGATGGTACATTCACAAGGGACACCCGAAGTGTCATGTGCAGTGTCACCACTGGTCGAGTAAAGGGTGCAGAGTCTCTAGGCATGTTTGCGAATAATGAATTGAAATAACTTCCGCTTAGGAAATATCAAAGCGTGTGTCATGTAATTGCTTTTAGATTTGTGGAAAGTTTTAGGCTCACACTTCTTACCGGCTGATTAGGCATGTAATGGCGCACCGATGAATACATTGAGAGATTAATCAAACTGTGCCTACGATAATTGAATATATTATTCGAATTTTACGAAAATGACACGCCGGCGCATTTAGACTAATGGCCTGAACAAAACTTCACACACCCGAGACGGCAAAAAGAAACCGAGAAATATAAAACAAAAATATCGTAAAATTGCAAACATTTAAAATAAATCGAATAACGACCATTTTATATATTAATTTTTTTGAGTGAATCATTACATGCCCAATGCAGACGAACGCCTCTCGCATGCCCGCACGTGTGCCGAATGCGCATGGCGAGGATATTCGATGCCCATGCGTCATTTAAGGAAGGACGGCGTTTATGGAACTTGGCCACTGGACCATGCTTGCACAAACACACTGCACTGTAAATTACTGCATTCAGTTATAATAAAGGCTTTTTTTGTACGTGGTGTAAATTGATTTAATATCGATAAGAGTAGAATAAACTGTTGTCACTTGGCTTTACAGAACCTAATTTATAATTTAAGTTATTGATAATTGCTCGTTTCGGTAATTATATGTATGGTTTTGATTGAATTTACAGCCCCTCGATAATCCACTGTTGAATGAAGGCCTTTCCATGCCGTGGGTGTGGTTGGACCATACTTCACCACGCTGGTCAGTATTCCAGCATAGCATTACAGTACAGAAGATTTTGCTACACTGCACTCTCCTGATAATGTACACCCACAACCTATAACACCTTGTTGGTGGCCACCCCCCATCCAGGTTCAACTTTACTTTGCTCCTGAGATTCGAACCGGTTCAGATATCTCTCCCCGCCAATGTTAGCAGGAAGTGGAAATAGATCTAACACCGCACCACGAGTCTACCCCAATAATTGTATATATTAATAATTTCCTAACACTCTCGTTATAACTTGTATTTAAAGTGAAATTAGGTTTTGTTAAACCATGCGAGATCGCTCGGAGGGGCAAGGCTGTCTACACAACAACTCCGCAATCTCCCGCGAGTGGTCACGACTGCGTCCATGCATTTGGGTGCACTTTGTGGAAGTGCACGAGGTCACCACGGCTGCGCGCTTGTTGCCGGCATCGCTCAGTAGCCACTGTGTGTGGCTACCCGTGTCGCTGTGCCCACCGACAATGCACGGCTGGCTACCTTCGCCTCTGGTGATGGAAGTCAATCAAACATGCAGACTTCCAAGGGGGCAAGCCTGGTTGTGCGCACACTGGTCACCCGTCGTTTTTATTAGAGGCTGATGATGGCATTGCCCCCTTAGCCTCTGGGCTTTGTCAGTGACCACACCACAGTTACGGTCTCAGCGTGGGAATTGTTTTTGGCTATCCATCGAACAAAGACGGTCACTGCCTGCATCGCGCTCTTTCAGACGCGCTACTGCGGCCGTCTGGAACGCTCTTCCCTCCGATAGTAGGAATACACTGGGAGCTACGCACTTTTAAATCTAGATTGAAATCTCGTTTTCTTCCAACTGCTTTAATCGTGTTTCGTTTGCCGTCCTTACCTCCCGCACCACCAATTAGCACGGTTGGCTATGTACGGTGCGAAATAAAGTTCAACGTCCGTACACACATACATTAAGTGCTCCTTGCGTGGTGTTTAACCCATGCGGCGTATGATAAGCGTAATTGCCTTAAATATACGACACGATCCACACACGTTGTTTTTTTTGGAACACAAAAAAATACACCGTACGCATAGGCAAAAGCATACCTGCTCAATTTATCCAACACTTTCTAACGGGAGTCGAGTATACTTGTAAACGCGTAGCGTCGAGCGTTGGCGGATTGAGGACTCGAAAGCCGGGAAGGGGTGGGGAGGGGACATGGGGGGGGGTGGGGGGGATGTGGGGGGTGGGGTGATGTGGGGGGGTGGGGGGTGATGTGGGGGGGGGTCATCGACCGCGGTGAAACCCAAACGTGGAGTTAGCGACGCCGTGGCCCTTCGCGCACTGCCGACGGACGGCTCCCCAAGCGCAGCAGTGCCGAGGGCTAGAAGCTCCCAGAAACACATTGCATATGCTGTAGGCACTTTTTTGTTTGTTTTTAAACTGCTTCACGATAAATTAAGCACTGAAGAAGTTGGTGGGGTGGGGGGGAAGAATGCAAGAAATGCATCCGATGGCAATTGCTTTAACGAATTATGTCGGTTAGACGATATACACACACACATAACGGAACACATTGTATAGTACAATCTATGGGCAGGTGGTTCCCAAACTCTCCTGACCCGGGTACCAACTTATTTTGCGCCCCTTTTCGATTAAAACGACCGAATCGTAGATTCTGCAAGAAATGTCACGAAACTCTTCCCACGGCCTTGACCAAACGAGCATGCGTGGCCCACGGCCCAACTGGTTGGGAACCACCAACCACCAGCTATGAAACCCAAGTGAACGGATGGACAAGCTTTGGTCAAAATGTAGCATTGGTGGAACTGCACTGGGTAAGGCATTATATCAATTGGGAGGAATTACTGGGGAATAACATCTCTTTAACACGGGGGGATACCTTTTAACACCTTCCGTCATTATATTTAAAAAAAAATAATCTCTTAACCAGAGCCATGCACTCATGATCTTGTCACTGAACACTAATGTTCAACAGAGCAGATGACTCTGGGCCCACAAGGTGAGCCACCTGCGGAACATTTAAAGTTGTGCTAAAGTGGGTAAGCGTCTTTTTTTGCTCATAAAACAAAACGATATTCACAAACATGGTATTAACGTTTTCGAACGTAATTTTACATCGAGACCCAACATTTGGAATTCCGCTACTCGGTGTACGGTAAATTCCGTGGAATTAAAAGCAACTGCAGGTCGATAATTGTGCAAAACTAAAATAAAATTGGAAATTTTACACAAACCCAACACCCCCGCTCCTAGTTCAAAATTCCCAGTCGGAATAAAATCATTACTGTGGCTAAAGACCAAACACTTCATTTAAAAATTATCGGCTAATGCAACATTGTCAAATAAATAAAAATTACACAAGCCCCTGACTGAAATAAGGAAATTCAAGAGGAACGGCCCTGGGCTATGCGAGGTAAAGTCGCCACTGAACGTGTAGTTCCAACTCAGTGTGGTGCCTATATACACGATCAGCACGTGCTCTTATTTAGGGCGAGGATGGGGAAGCACAGGGAGCGATATAATTTGGAATTAAATCACCGGCTGCTTATCAAGACTACAAAAAAAACCGTTGTGGATATTTATTACGTAGATAAGCAGTCGTGGGCAGAGGCAAAACAAGGAAGATCCTTGAACAGGGGGCAGGGAGGTTTGGCTGGGGTAGGGAGTTCCAAACTGTGGGGGACAGCGCAGGAGAATTAGCGAATTCGCAGAACGCGCAGTTGCTCATACGGTTCTTAACCTTGCACTCCTTTGGATCTCAATCGTAAACACAAAATATACGTTACTGCGTAGGTTCCATGAGACACAGTAAGTTGTACTTAACTTGCCCGTGCTTAATGTGTTTGGATGATTTACCTTCTAAACAAAAAAATCTGGCCATGTCTCGCACCCCCCCAGAAAGGGCATCTCGCACCCTCTGGTTAAGACGTTAAAAACCACTGGCCTACACCAACTAAGTGGAGGCCGATCTCACGTACCCCTCCCCCGCCCCCCACAGCGTCTCACAGCTGGGCCTGTGGGGACGCGGCCCTTGGACAACTGCCTCCCCCGTGTCCCGGTTAGGCCGGATAGCCAGATGTAGGCCTCGCGTGCCAGTCATGTCCCACCCCGCCCCCTCCTTCTACCAGTCCACCCACAACGCGTGCCCGCTCATCAGGTGGGAGCTGCAGTGAACGTCAGAAAGTGTCAGCGGAATTCTAATAAGTCCGGGTGGGGAGGAGGGGGGGGTTCGGCCCATAGTGCACGACACAGACTGTGCCCAAATGAGCGGCAAGGTCGATTAGAAACGATCATCCAAAGACAGCGTGGCTCTTCATTGCAAGGCCAGGCAGGAAACTGGTGGGCGACTGGCGGGCCCCTGGTGGCCTTTAGTTGCGGCCCCTGACGTGTGGCCTCCCCGACAACGCACGAATGTGAAAACACATCGTGCCGTCAACACCTCCCCCCCTACACTCACACTGATGGTGTCTTATCGGCCCAAGTGGACATCTGTACCGCCCAACAAAAGCGCCTTTTGCCGTGGCTGTATGCGAGAACACCAACTATTTGGTGTTTATATTCTTGGTTCTTTTGGTAAAGTCACGTAGAAGGGAAACCATAAAATAATAAAAATATGAAACAATACAATTCTCACGACGTTTCGACTGCAACACAAGCAATCATCATCAGGTGTGAACACCGAAAGAACCAAGAATATGAATCCCTGCAGTCACGAAAACTTTAAATCAAAACGTATTTGGTGTTTGTTGGCGATTTCGAGTAAAAACATCAGGTTCAGTCTATCCGTTGGAAATACATTTAAAACAAAACATTTCAAACCAGCCACTGTCACGCACAAACAACAAAAATGAACTCGGAAACAGGACGTGCTGATATTGTTACTGTCGATTGACGAAAACCGAAAGTACGACAGATTTACCCCCCCAAGGGACGACGATTATCTCTGCGATGGGGAAAAAAGATCCCAAAATGGACACCAAAAGTTCCCTCCACTCGGTTCCTGCAGACGCCTTCACACAGTTGGGATTTTTTTGTGTTTTGTGCCATGAGATTTGATAATTCGCGCCACGACTTGGCATGCGGTGGGAAATACTTCTTTTTAACCACGTGTGTGCTTTAAGGGGGGGGGGGGGGACTCTTCTCGACAGCCAAACAATGCGGTAGGCCCGTCTCCGACGAAAGGGCCTATTGGGATTATATAAAAAAAAAACCTTGAGCACTAACATCTGATACAAGATCTGCATTACTTATCACTTACAGATTTGCTCTTAACGTGAGCACAGCGAAACATACAAAATATATATCATGAGAAGCAATAGACACACTGTCAGACTCGTTGTTACATCTTATAGATTAGATTCAGCTCGATTTGGGATGGAGATGGAAAATGTGTTTATGAAAAGGGAAGGAGAGCGAGGAGGTGGAATGTTTGAAATGACGGTGAAATACGTGACACGACGACTGTTGTGAACAGCGCACACAAAGCACGGCGTACTTGCATAGCGGACACATTTACCGCTCCGACTCCACCGTGACTGCTGCTAGGTACACAAACCACACACGAATACACACACGCACGTGTGTTTTCCTAAATACACGAGCAAGCGTCCTTGCAACAACAGCAACAAAAAAAATCCCGCCTTGGGTGCGAAGCAGAGCAGGAGCAGTTTTGATTAAAATAATGCACACGGAAATAACTGCTCGTGCCTGCAAGTGTGAAAATCAACCGACGAAATCTGTGCTGTGACACGACACGGCACTCAAGAGGAAAGTCACGCGCGTGTTGTTCGAGGCCGCTCCGTGGGCTCGAGAAGGCGGGCGCGGGGAGGAGGGCACCGACAAGGAAAGACTCCCGAGACAAGCGACGGGAGAGGGCACGAGGGGGCCAGACAAGACGATGGAAACAAGGCGACTCGTGCAGAGAATGGGATGACAGGTGAACCCGCAGGCATGGGGAGGATCACGGCCGAGAAAGCCGCCCATCGTCCTGGCCGACGGCCCATCTCTCATGCCCTCACACCGCGAGGGGAGCATCGCACGGGCGGACCGGATGGAGTTTGGCCACCGCGTTGCCTGACACCGGGGGGCGTGGGGGAGCTAGCGAGCGTGGGCCATCTCCAGCAGGGTCTGCACCGTGAGGCCCACCTTGGCCAGGCCCTTCTCTTCCAGAATGTCATGCGGGAGGCAGAGGCGCTCCTGGGCGTGATGGAGGGGCGGTCACATGCAGGGAGAGATCGGGAGGAGGAGGGGGCATCACGGACACGGGGCCATGTTAACGAGTGAGGAACATGCTTTTAATCACGGCGACCGGCAAACAGGTGGCTCCACGGGCAGAATTATGCTCGTGATAACACCGTACATCGACAGTGAACAAAACGTTGTGCCAAAGATGGAGTTACGGATATTGGTTATACAAGGGCTAGAATTTGGCAGACTGGTTTGATTTGGGCTCGGGGGCAAGGTGAGGGTCTGGTTGGCGTTTTTTTTTTTTTCCCACAACGTTTTACATTGCTACCTCGCCCGTCTGTGAGCACACTTTTCACTCTCCGTTGTTGTTCACCGTTCGGTTTTGGTGTTCGCACGGCGGCAACGCAAGCGGTCTTTTTTTTTTGCCGCGCGGGCGTCGAAGGCGTGGCGCGAGGCAGTGAAAGCGACGTGCTTCAGCGCGCCCTTCGAATGCTCTTCCCGTAAAACAAACGCATCGAAGCGCCAACTTCGGAGCACAATTCCCCCGGCCAGTGGAACCTCGTTTGCACTATTTATAGTAAATGACAATTAGAATGAACAACAAAAAAAATCGGGAGAAATATTACTACACTTGTGCCAGAGCGCGCACGCACGCACGCACGCACGCCGAAGGTTAGTTTGGCCGAGCCACGTGATCGGACAAAGCGCAGCGGGCGCAAGGAGCGACCTGTGTTTTAATGGCCGCGAAAGGGGAGCGTGGTGTCGCAGTGGACCCCAGGAGCGATGTAGTGGCTACACGGGGTGATCACAGCGAGCCATGCACCACTGTGGGTGTCAGTGCAGCGATCGGAAGGGGTCGCATAGGGTCGGAGGGGCTCTACTTACGGCTTTTGGCTATCGAACAAAGACGGTCACCGCATTTGCGCCCTTTCAGCTGCGCTTCTCCGGCCGTCTGGAACGCTCTTCCTTCCGATATTAGAAAGCCACTGGAGCTATGCACTTTTAAATCGTCTAGATCGAAAACGTTAATCTTTAGAACTGCATATTGTGCTTAGTTTATTGTCCTTTTCCCCCCGCACCTCCGATTAGCACGGTGGGCTACGTACGGTGCGAAAGAAGTTCAACATACACACATACGTACGAACGGCCGCGCGCCCTCGGCAGGGTCAGCTCCGAGCCGCTGCTTCGGCGTATCGGGCAGCACCACCATGGCGGCCGTCCGTCGGGGTTGGGCGGGAGGGAAAGGCGATCGTTTGAAAACGCAGGTCCCTCTCCGTTCTGTTAGTCGCGGTCTCAAGCGTCCCAAAGCAAAGCAACACTCAAGCAGTGCAGCAGGAAAAGGCATCATTTTCAGGGCGCGCGTGAAAGCGATCTCAGAGCGTCGGCGCGGCCGGATCGCTCTCCGCTGCGCCGCACGCGATTGTATTTCGCTGACATTGCAACACTTCCCACTTTTGATCTCTGCACAAAGGGTTTCTGGGTTCAAAACAACGGCCACCGGCTCAGTCAGGACTCGGGAGGGGGGTGGGGACGACGGCTTAATGCATCGACGGCTCCCGTCGCACCAACAGACACCCACGCACCAGCGTCACACTTTCCACTTTGCGCGGCGTTACATCGCGAGCAACATCCAATCTTCACAAGCGGTCGGGAAACCTTGCCCGAACCCCCCCCCCCCCCCCCGCCCGCCCCCCTCCGTTGGGAAAATGTACGTCAATTGCACGGTGGACATCAAGAGAGGGCCTCTTCAAGGTGCCCTACATTCATATCCGTGTTAAGGTGTGAAGAGGAGCACGTTGCATATAGAAACAGCGGATCAGCCGACCGCAGTAGGGCCACAGCAGCAAGAAGAGGCGTTTGCAGTGACGCCTCACGCGCGGTCGCTTCCAGACCGACCGCTCGGGCACTCTTAGCGGGTTTTCTTTGTTTTGTTTACTCCCGACAACCAAAGCATTTAAAGTTAGCAGAACCGCTCCGAAGCCAACCTGTAACCAGCACTTCGCCAAGGTCGCGCGACGCCGCCGAGTCTCACACAGCCCAGGACTCGCTGCTCGGCTTCTCTTACGGAAAGGAGAAGCCATGCGGTGAGTTGCGCGTTAACCAAGTCCCCCCAATTTACCCTGGGGCACGACTTCATGAACGCGGAGGGCGCGCTTAGCGCTGCTGCTGCTGCTGCTGCTGCTGCAAGCCACTGTGGCCGCGAGCGACGAGCGTTCCCGCAGCTCGTCGCGCGGTCGAACTTTTCCGGAAAGCGCTGAATGGAGGTACCACTCACCGGGGAGAAAGTACGGCCCCCCGGCTTGCTGCGTTCCGATTGAGAAATCCGCGCTCAGGATTTGACCTCCCCCGAGGTCAAAGCCCGTGAAAAGTGGGTTAGCAGCCGTGGAAGGAAGCCACTGTGAGAGCGTGCGAGGTTTTTTTTGGCACACAAGGAGGCATGGCGGAGTTCCACTGAGATTGTTTCACAACTATGGCTGCAGAATTCTACTGTAGTAGTGCTTTAAAAAAACAATAACTAGTGCGAGAGTTAACATTTAAGTAGGCACGGGCGAGCCTTTAGTGAACTAAGAAAAAACACATCGGACCATCACTTTTAAATCTAGCCTGAAAACGATTTTCTTCAGAACTGGTTTTTGTGTTCAGCTTGTTGTCCTTCCGCCCCACCCCCCGCACCTCCGATTAGCACGGCCGGCTACGTCCGGTGCGAAAGAAGTTCAACGCAACGTACAGCACGTACGAAGATAAGACGTCAAAAGTTGGGCTCTGTGTCCTAACGGAGGTCGACCGCTCGGGGTTACAAACAGGCAAGGGGGTGAGGCGCCAGCGGCGAGGAAGGCACGGCTCTGGCCGTGAACACGCCGTCTCGTCCGCCGGAGCCGTTGTGAACGTCCGCCAAAAGCAAAGCGAGAGGGGGAATGTGAAAGCACCACCCCCCCCCCTCCCCACCACTTGGGGCAGCCACGCAGGAGAAGCGTCCGCTTTTCGGCGAAAGTCGGGTCAGCTTTCGCTCATTTTGTCTCTTTGCTCTGCTTTGTGAGTCCTCGTCATTGTTTTTTGATTAATCGTAAATGGCAAGTGCAAAGCTTGGAATGGCTATGTGCACGCAACGACGGGTGGACAGCGGGGAAACGGGAGGAACCAGGGGTGTCAGACGCTTCATTAAGGCGGTACGCGGAAGGGGGGGTTGGTGCGGAGGGCGGAAATGGAATAAGACACCGCATGTGGGGACACGTGGGAGAACGACAAGGGGAGGGACTTGAGGAAGCTTGGAGGACACGAGGGCACGCGAGTGGACATGGGGAGGGGGGATGATGGGAACCCAAAGTCAGACAGGAGGTGTCATGCCAAGTGAAATTAGTAGTGTGTTCACTTTAAATAAAGACTGTGAAGCCGAAACAAAACGGTGAGTCACTGTACAAAAGCAGAACAAAATAGCGTGTGTAATGCATCCTTGGCATACGATTATATTAAACTATAAATAATGTAACAAAAACAACAATACAACTTGAATGGAATAAACAAAGTGAAAGGGGTGGGGGTGGGAAACATTACTGTACACGATATTAAATACGATGTTTACGGTGATGGGAAATTACACAAAGCACTTTATAACATGTACACCATGCTTGTCTATAAATAAATATGGGCATCATTTATTGTGCGATGCGTTTAGAAAACTTTGGCAGAAGACGACCAACAAGTAGAGGAGGAGGATGAATGGACGAGGAGGAGGGCAGCGACACAGAGATATGAGCACAATGACGGGAGGGGGAAAAGCCCTGGGGGATCAGAACGCGTGGAACCCACTCGGCCCGCACGGCTGGAGCCGGTAGCGCATCGAGTGGGGGGGGGTGGGGGGTGGCGAGCGCAGCCAATCACGCGCGAGCGTTCGCCAAAGCGGCAGAGTCACGGGGGCTGCAACGGAGCGTGTCATTGGGTGGTTTTGCTCGCGGAGCGTAGCGTTGACGACCGCGTATATATGCCGGCGCACGATTGGCTGCCCCGCGGCCTCTCCGTGGGCAGCAGTCGGGGTCGTCTCCGTAGTGACGATGGCCCTGGGCCTGCCTCTCGTGGGACCCCTCAAGCGCGGGGGGGGGGCACGGGGACCTCCGACCGCGCCGAGCACCCCGACGCGCGCGAGCGGACGTATCGGCGCTAGAACAGGGAGACCCCGTGCAGCGCGTAGAGCAGCATCAGCATGGCGAGGAGGTAGAAGAGACAGAAGCCGACAAGCTCGTGCACGGGCCGGCGGCCCATCAGAGGGATGGCCACGAGGGCCGCGTCCGCGTCGGCGCCCAGCGGCCGCGGCTCGGCCTGCTCGAGCAGCGCCGACACGGTCACGTGTATGGCCGACAGGTTCCCCTGCGTCAGCTCGTACGGCGAGCACAGCGCCGACTGCACACACGCGGTGGGGGGGGGTGGGGTGGGGGGCGGTGCGGGGGGTTGTTGGGGGGGGGGGGCGGGGGGAGGAGGGGGTGCGTTCGGGGTGGCACAGGGCAGCCGGAGTGCACGATGGGAGGCATGCAGGGGTGGGGGGGGGGGAGGAGGGAGCGACGAGATTCGGAAAGTTGGGTGAAACAAAAGATCAATGGAGGACGTGGGAGGATTACAAAGGGGGAGGGAGTACCGCAGGCTCGAACGGAAAGGAAGGGACACCCGGGGGTGGTGGTTTACATCATGCATCGAGGGAAAAGACAATTGAATGAGTTCGGCATTCAATTAAATTTAGCGGGGTCGCAAAGATGGGGTGGGGGGAGCGGGGGGCAGGGACGAGACAGAAAAAAACAAAAACACATTTATTAGTAACATGTGCAACGCTCGGCTTGCGACGGGGACTGCCAAAGCCGCTCCTCGTAGAAGCTCGTTAGGCGAATGACGGTGTCGAAACGCCACGGTGGCGTTAGGAGCTAGCGCTGACGCGGACGACTCTGCTTGGCACATTGAACAAAGCGCTTATCAACACGAGCACGCCGTACGAAATGTCACGCCCGTCCCTGCTTTTTGGGCAGAACAATGACGGCAATGGATTACATCGCTGCCTAAAACGAGTCAACCTGGGAAGGAGCATGCATCTGGATGAAATTGTAAGCCTCACACTGCTCCCACTCACTTTTGTTACCCTTGACCCACGATATCATGCTTTCACCATGTCGCGCTGTTGCCGACATCTCAAAATGCGGCAGCATCTGCCAGGACAAAACTTCCGACGTGGCTTGAGAAGGTCGAAACTGGTCCGGAGTTTGCAGGCATAAAACAAATGCTGCTGGCTCCAAGAGTGACGAATTAAAAACATAATTTTCACGTGGCGACACCAAAGCAAATGACGTATTGTAGTATTACCCACAACAGCAGGGGCACATGTTGAGTTTTTTTTTTATAAACAGCGACTTTGTATTTCTTAGGGCCTTTGACGACGGTCTGAGAGTATAAAACGTGACCGTAAACTCACTGCTTCGTTCAAGGCCGCCACCCGTTTGCAACGTTACCTTGGGAACGCCAATCCTTTTACAGGCGTTCAGGAAACTCTCCACGTTTTTTCTGCACTTGGTCATGGAGAGTTGCGGCTACAAAAAAAACACACGCACAAAAAAACGCCACGGAGAGACGATCAGAATATGACAACAGGCACTTGGACGTCAGCTGGTTTCGGAGCATTGAGGGCCTCGCAAGCCTTCCGATTGACCAGCCCAGCGGTCGGCAAACCAAACGAACAAGAAGAGCAATTTCTTTTCCGAACTCAGTACCAAACCCAATATTTCAAGAGCCGCGCAACGCGCCTGCGTGCGGACACGAGACGGCGACGGGCCCGTCACAAATAAAGTCACGAAGCGGCCCTTAAAGAGCCGCACTGTGGCCCCGAGGCCGCGGGCTGCCGACTCCCCTGGGCTAGCGGCTCTCGCTCTCACCGCTGGAGCCGCCACCTGGCCCGGTTAGACGTCACGAGACCCACCGGGAAATACGGTCGAGCGGCCCTGGTGTGGGAGTGGGGTGGGGTGGTGTCGATGGGTGGGGTGGGGGGGGGGGGGCACGCACCACGGCGGGGGACGGCTCGTAGATGATGGGCACGGAGCGTGGGCGGACGTGATTGGCGAGGTTGCACAGCATCACCCCGTCCATGAGCGCCGAGCCCATGTCGAGAGGGAGGCACCGGTTCAGCCGCGACTCGATGTTCTGCGCACACGGCACCGTGGGGGGCGCGCGCACGCCCCCCCCCCCCCCGGCACGCAACGGCGTGAGCGGCAGGGACGCGACGGCTCGCGACGGCAACGGGCAGCGCCTAACGCAACGCAAGGCGCCGGCACGAACCGCACCGCGGCAAGCAACGAGGATATCCACCCACTAACGTTACCGAGCGAATGCGAACAAACAACTGTAAGGTCTCGTAAAAAAAACAAAAAACATTTCTCGCAGACGTCTTAGATGTGGTGTGCATGGGTACGACAATGCGTCTGTTAGCGGATGTGTGTTTTCGCTGGTCCAGTGACAGGCATGATTGTGGGGAGCGGTAGTGTAGTTCGATTCACGCTCACGACCAACCCCAGTGACGATTATATATCTGAACCGGTCCTGGGCCTCCTCCCCTTGGGTCGACTCAGCCTCAAGTGAGTACCTGGTGAGGTGTGTAAAACCGCCGCCACTGGGGAGACAAAGGCGGCCGGGCGTGGTGTTGGCCACCCACCCCCTTGTGTGCCGTGCCGGCGTTCATAGGTGCCCGCTAACAGCACTTTCCCCGACAGTCTGTTGAGGCTACACGGGGGACCGTTGCCTCACCTCCCTCAGCTGCTCGATGAGTTTGATCTCCTCTTTCATCTGCTCCATCTTCCTCCGCACAGTGAAGTTGGGGTTCTCCGGTATCAGCGGATGCAGCCGGCTCTTCTGCAGGCTGAACGCTGTGAACAAGACGTGTCAACGGATTGTATCCATCTGTGGATTAAATGTATGCTGTGGATTGAATCGATCTGTGCGGAGCTTTTGAGTATTATCCCCTCGCAAACACATCATTAATGAAACCGATTACATTTAACAGGCATGTAACAATTTGGCCCTCTTGCACATCATATTGATTTTTTTAACACCTGGGTTAAATCCAGCACCTCCGAGTAACTGCAAGGGCAACTATCAACACCGTTTCCTAACCGGCAATAATTGATTCTTACACACCCGACTAAGCGCATGCAACCGTGGTATCAAATGAATGAATCAATGCGTCATCGCATGCCCACAACTTAAAAAAAAAAATAACCAACACAATGGACATCCAGTCCTTGACGAGCTCTGCTAGATACATGCACCGTGCGTACTGTACGCTGAACTTCTTTCGCAGCATACGTAGCCAACCGTGATAATCGGAGGTGCCGGTGGGGGAAAGACACCTCGCGTTATAGGGCGGCGAATCCACAGGGGCGGAACCTCGCGTGCCATTATTGGCAACGGGGGAAGCAGGGGGGTGGGGGTGGAGGTGGAGCAGCTGGGAAAACGCGGTTTTTGATCGCCGTCGACCAGCTTGCCAGCACCACTTGAGCACCGCGAATCTCTCCCCGGCGCCGGTCAAAACCACGGCGGCGCCACCTACCCTGAGAGTCGCTGGTCGGGGTGGCGGTGGCCGGATGGGGGGCTCCCCCCTCGGCGCCGTTCTGCGGCCTCTGTGGCGGGGGGGGGCGCCGCGGGCTCCCGTGGCCGTTCACGCGTGCGCCGGCTGCAACGGCGGTGCATGGCGGTGCCGGTGGCTGTGGCGGTGCGCTAGCGGGCGGTGGCGCGTCGGCTGATTTTAGGAGTGCCGGTGGGCGAGCGAGCGAGCAAGCGAGCGAGCGGGCAGCTGGGGCGAGTTCGTGCGAGAGACCAAGCGGGGTGAGGGGGCATGCAAGGCAGGGCAGGGTTAGGGCAGCAAGAAGGCAGGGCAGGCCAATCCAAAGCAAGACGGAAGCACGTAAAATCATGCACGCGTGTGCAGACGTTGTGTGTTTAAGGGATAAGGTGGCCGATATTGAAAAATGGTTGCAGATCCCAGCACAGGAGTGAAGTGCATCATTTGGAAGAGAATGGTGAAGGGAAGGTACAAGTTCAGAGTGCGAACACAGATGGAGTTTTGTTAAGTGTACTTGGATGGATTCAAAGGATCAGGTTGAAAAGTGTCGAAATTCATTGTTCGAGTCCGATGGAATTTCAGATTAGGGCAAGACACGGATCAAAGGGTAAGATGAAAAAGATGGCAGCGTGGATATTTTTACGTGATTGGTGGCGAAACAAGAGTTTTGTGGTAACAGTGTTTAAGTGCGTGTGAAATGGAGACATTTAAACACTGTTAGTAACCACAACACCTCAACGTTTGCTTTAGTCGACACAATACACAAGCACAGGGCACATCGATGAACTCAAGCCGCGGTACGTGGACGGGCGTCAACGCCGGTGAAGCGAGCGCGCACCGTACGAGTGCATACGCGCGATGTCTCCGGGAGGTGCGAGCGACCCGGAGCCCTACCTGAGCGAGGCTTGAGGCCAAACGGATGCCAGTCGCCACTGTGACTTGCCGCACGCTCCTGCAGGTGCGACACGCGCAACGCGGCCGCAACGCGGTCACAACACGGTCACATTCACCGTCGCAAAGCGGGCAACATCGTGGTCGCCACGCGGTTGTATCGCGGTCGCAAATCTGACCGGGACGGCACGACCGCTCTCCCAACGAGGGCAGCAGCCGCTCTCCGCGGGCGAGCAACTACTCACCCGGTCTAACGGCCAGGGCACAGGTGACGTACTGTCAGATTGCGAGCCGTCAAGAGTAGAGTGTACTCGGCATAAAGGTGAGAAGGAGGTCGCCTGACACCGGTGGTGGGTTAATGTGGGAAGCATCACCTGTGCTGGTGGTGAGGATGAGGAGGCTCGTGCTCCTGAAGGACCACTGCAAGAGAGGAATGGCACACGACGTGATCCTGGATCTAACTTCAAGATCGCGCTCACCCTCCTCAAGATCCTCCGTGAGACCTCTGCCCTTCTCACCGCTCCCATTTATCACCAATTCCCTTCTAGCACTCTCCCACCTAACCCCCGAACCCCCGTCGGTGTGGTCGTGCAGAGGGAGTGTGAAGTCGTGCCGGGAGTGTGTGGTTATGCCAGGGGTATGTGGTCGTACCGGGAGTGTGTGGTCGTGCCAGGAGTGTGTGGTCGTGCCGGGAGTGTGTGGTTATTCCAGGAGTGTGTGGTCGTGCCGGGAGTGTGTGGTCGTGCAGGGAAAGTGTGTGGTCGTGCAGGGGGAGTGTGTGGTTGTGCAGGGAGTGTGTGGTCGTGCAGGGGGAGTGTGTGGTTATGCCGGGAGTGTGTGGTCGTGCAGGGAGTGTGTGGTCGTGCAGGGGGAGTGTGGCTGCGCGGTCGTGTTTGTGCCTTGTGGTCATGTGTTCGTGCGAGTGCTGTCGTGTCGGGCGGGCGTGTCGCTCACTTGCTTGCCGCGGCGGTGCTGTACGCCCCTCCCTGTCCGGCCGCCATGGCGTGCTGAGACGATGGACTTGCGCTGCGGGGGCGGGGGAGCGCAAACGGTGCCATCAAACAGACACTCCCCGGCTCAATCGACCGTGCTTAACGAGCACGCCACCACTTTCCACGGTGACAATCATGACGGTGGTGGCGACGGCGTTGTCATCGCCGACGACCGCGACAGCGTCGGTGTGGCGGCGTACGGCGTACCGGTCTCCTCCGTTGTCCCCGCTGGCCTGTGGCTCCCCCTCGGGGATGGAGTCCATCTTCGCGAGTTTCCTGTGCGCGTCCGCGCCGCTCTGCTCTCCGCTCGACGCCCCTTCCCACTGCACAGCGCCGCTCCTGGGACAAACACAAAGACCCCCCCCCCCCCGCCCCGTACAGCCTCAACAGGACTGTTGAGGTTAGCGGGCACCTATGAAGGCCGGGACGGCACACGAGGGGGTGGTTAGCCAACACCATGCCTGGCCACCTTTGTCTCCCGAGTGGCAATGTTCACGTGTCGCACCAGGTGCTCATTTGAGGCCGAGTCGACCGAGGGGAGGCTCAGGACCGATTCGGATGAATCGTCTTTGGTGTTGGCCGTGAGCGGGAATCGAACTCGGGTCGCTGGGGCAAGACACAGAGCCATGCACGCGCCACACATGTACCACACATGTGCGCTCGCTCACACCCTTCTCCTTCCTCTCAGCCACCACTGCCAAAACAAATCAGACAAAGCAGTCCGCCGTGCGCGCGCACCGAAAGCCATCTCTCGGCTAACCAAACTCTTGCGCGCTGACGTACAAGTTGTTATTCATCCAGCTGTACGCGGCAGAGAGCAAGCGAACTCCTTTGTGTCACAAGTCACAAGACGAGGCCTGGCGCCCGCACGCGCAGTCTCCACCCCCCCCGACTCCTGGCTCCACAAACCCACAACCAAAAACCACGACCATCTCTACGGCTCAAACCGTGGCACGCCACAGCGCGTGTGTCCACGCCGATCGTCGCACCCCCCCTCCCCACCCACCACCCCCCATCTCGTCCGCGAACATTTCGCGCTGCCGTTAAGGGATTTACAAAACGCTCACCGGTGGGGCTCCATGGCGGGCGGCTCGCGTGAGTTCGACGTGGCCTCTGTCCTGCCCTGCAAGCAGACAGGAGACGTCAAAGACAAAGATCCCCTGCGTAGCCTTAACAGACTGTTGGGGCAAGTGCTGTTAGTGAGCTGCACCGATGAAAGGTCGCCACAGCACACAGTGTGGAGGGTGGTCAGCGCCACGTCCCGTCAGCCCTTGTCTATCCAGTGGCGATGCTTACACAAAGCACCAGGTACTCAAATTTGAGGCCGAGCCGACCTAGGGGAGGCCCAGGACCTATTCAGAAAATTGTCATTGGTGTTGGCCATGAGCGGGAATCGAACTCGGGGTCGCAGGGTTTGTAGCGCGGTGCATTAACCGCTGCACTACCGCTCCCTAAAAGAGGCATCACTTCTAAAAATAGCTTGAAAACTAATTTCTTAAGAACTGCTTGTTGTTGTGTTTAATTTTCTATAATACAAGTTTGTTGAGTTAGATCGCGTAAATATATAAATGTGTCATTAAACCCGCCAGCACCCGACAGCCAATTAGTAAGGTTTGTCGCGTAAATTGGCTGTTTTGGGTGGTGGCGGGGTTAACGACTGCAGTAATTCATATTCTTAGTTCTTTCGGTAAAGTCACGTTGAAGGGAAACAATAAAATAATAAAATATATATAAAACAATAAAAATTCTCACGACGTTTCGACCATAACACAAACGGCTCCTCAAGAGGGTCCTTCTTCATGGTTTGAGTGATAGCTTTGCGGATTGTATAGTCGGAGTAACCATTAGCCTTAAGAGCTTGGTGTACGTGCTTGAAGAAGGACCCTCTTGAGGAGCCTTTCAAAACCATCACTTTACCCTAAATTGCGGGGATCACAAAAAATATCTCCAAAATCTTGAATAAACACAAGATCCAGGTCCGTTTCAACACATTACATAAAATCCGTGATCTGGTTCTGTCTGTAAAAGATGTGATTCCGGACATACAGTACCCTGGTGTCTACAAACTAAGTTGCCTCTGTGGTAGTAGTTACATTGGAGAAACCAAACGCCATGTCTCGGACCGCATTCGTGAACACAAAGCAGACCTTAAACACGGTAGGACCAACACCTCGGCCGTGGCAGATCATTGTTATAATTCAGTAGGCTCACATGACATTGACTTTTCCAAGACAGAGGTTCTTTGTAAGCCATCTGGCTACCATGAGAGATTCGTTCATGAGGCTATCCACATATACAAGCACAGAGACAATTTCAACCGAGAAGATGGATTCTGGCTTAGCAATCATTGGAAAGATTTGATAAACCATTTCAGGTCTTAATTGATTGTTCACGCTTACAGTGGCTTTCAGACAGCATACATTATAAAAAAAAAAATTGTCTCCACCCTCCTCTTTTCAGAACATAGATGGACTAGTCCTAAATAAACTGCCAAATCGTTGCGCGTGGCGCTAACGTTTTTTTATAAATAAATACACCGTTTAAAAATAAATACATGTATGCAAACCGACACACCTGAAGAAGACCGTTTGTGTTATGGTCGAAACGTCGTGAGAATTTTTATTGTTTTATGTATATTTTATTATTTTATTGTTTCCCTTCAACGTGACTTTACCGAAAGAACTAAGAAATGTATATATTTACGCGATCTAACCCAAAAAACCTGTATTATGGATATTGGTCACGAAAGCCTCCTAGGTGTTAAACTGTGTTTCGTTTGTTGTCCTTTCCCCCCCGCACCTCCGATTAGCTACATACGGTGCAACAGAAGCAACTTCAACACACGTGCAGCACAACACACGTTCAACATACGTACAGCACAGAAAGAAGGTGCACACGCACGGCCACAACGACGGGCCGCCGTTTGCGCGCTTTCGCCATTTTTGTTGAAAGCGACCGAGATTACTATCAGCTTCAGGAGGGGACGCACCGTGACGTGGCCTGGGAGAGCGGCGGGCGGCGGCTCCTTGACGGGCACCCCGGCAGCCTCGCGAGCGCTCGCCGCTCGGTCGTGTTCGTGGCGCGCGCCTGTGACGAAAAAAAACCAACGCGCGTCCTGTGAGTCGCGACGCGCGAGTCTTCGATCATCCGTCGACGGTTCCCGGATTTCTGCGCGCAACTCTTGACTCCAAAGCGCTTGGTTCTCTTGGCATCCACCACCCTGCCGTCTCTGTCCTCGATGAAACCGACACTATTGAGATAACAAACGCTTTAAAGGTGTGAATGCGATTGCACAATTGCGATTATTATTATGTTGTTGTTTTTAAATCCGCAATTGTAGAATGCTCCGATGCTGTCTGCCAGCCGAGTCGCCTACAAAAAAAAGAGCCCTGTAGCTCTTTGGGTTTTACTCAGTGCGAAATAACCTTCTGATTCTGTTCTTTAACAGAATGCACCATATTCTTGGTTCTTTCGGTAAAGTCACGTAGAAGGGAAACAAGAAAATAATTATAATTGTTTTATATTTTTATTATTTTATTGTTTCCCTTCTACGTGACTTTACAGAAAGAACCAAGAATACGAATCCCTGCAGTCACGAAAGCTTTAAATCAAAAAGAATGCACCATGTCAACTCCGATGGAGTGTTGCTAAATGCAGTTGCGAGGATCGTTCCTCAACTCACCGCTGAGATAAAACAACAACAATCGGCGCGTTGTTCAACGCCTGTACGCGTGTACGGGTGCTGGAGGGTTCCCGAGTGACATCGATTTGATCAGATAATAATCACGGACGTAGCTGTGGAGAAAATGAACAACGAAGTCGATGAGGCCAAACGATGCGTCTCCATGCATCTGTCTCAAAAAGTAAAAAGACGAAAAGCATTTGCTACAAAACGGCTTTCTGGGAAAGTATATCATGGCTCAACACGAAGCGCTGCAGCGGGCCGCCCCCCTCTCCCCCAAGCAAACCCGACGAAGGATCGTGGGGGTTCGTGGAAGCAGCGGCGCGAACCTTACCGGGCGCCGAACCGTTCACCAGGGGCGGCTGCTTCTCCTCCTCCTCCTCCACCACCACTGAGGAGGAGTAGGGGGCGGGCAGCAATGCCGGCGCCGGATCGGAGGTGGACGACTTCTTCGGCGAATCCGCACACGGCTCCTCCTCGGTCTGTGGTGCACGCGGGAAAAACCGCACCAAGCCCATGGCATGAGTGCGCCTGTTAAACTCCCCAACTGTTTTGACGCGAGATATTAAAATTTCTTTGCACGGTAGGGGGCACAGGTGGTGCATCGGGGGCCAGTCGTCTCAGTCAGTCGAGCCATGGCGCCCCCTGCTGGGTCTGTCCCGTGACCTCCTGACAGCGGGCGTTCGACACTTCACGTGGCCTTAACGTGCAAATAGCCTGGCACAAGCGCAGTGGTGATGTCACCGCCACTTAGTGGCGAATGGCGGTTGTTGTTTGACGCAGGTCGCCCATGTAAAAGAGAATCGAGGCCTCAGTGGGTGACTGCGCGTATGTACAGCCATTTTGTCAATCCACTGCTGGACCAGGGCCTCCCCCCCCCCCACTCCGCTCGGGCTGCGGGGGCGTTTTGTGACGCTGGCCATGACAGCGTCGGCGAAGGCGGAAAGTAGATGTGGGAGCACAGAAGGACAGCACAACAATGGATTTCGCCGCACCGCCCTATACTGCCCACCACGTAAAGCCTGCGACCCTGCGACCAACTGCGGGCGCATGGTGGTCATTACCTCGTGAAATAAAGCCGACAATCATGACGACGATGACGACTACAGGACAGATGTTACGTAAGAAGCCGGTATCGGCAGAGGGCCTGTGCCACGTTTGTCATCGCCGGCCAGTCGCCGGGCCCGGACTGACCTACGCAAGGGGGGGGGGGGGGGGGGGGCGCAGTCACCTCATAAAACAAAAACGCCGGGCCGGTGACGACCGGACGCTCACCTCAAACCTCTTGTCGCTGCTGTCGCTCACGATGCCCGAGTCTGGCCTCCAGCTGCGCTCGCGGACCGAATCCTCCACGCTGAGTCGGTGAGACGGCGGAACACACACACACAACAACACACACAACAACACACACAACACACACACAACACACACACACAACACACACAACACACACACACAACACAGACACACACAACACAGACACACACAACACACACAACACACACACACAACAACACACACACAACAACAACACACACACAAGACACACAACAGCAGAATAAACGATTGGTGCAGGAGGAACATATTTGAACCGGTCCTGTGCCTCCCCTAGGTCGACTCAGCCTCAAATGAGTACCTGGTGCAGTGTGTGAAATCATCGCCACTGGGGAGACAAAGGCGGCCGAGTGGGATATTGCCTGCGCAGCCCCTCGTGCGCCATGACGGCCTTCATCGGTGCTTGCTGACGCCACAGCACTTGCCCCAACAGTCTCTTGAGGCTATCCGGGGATCTTTGCCTCTTGACACTCACCAGCTGTCCACGAAACGCTTGGGGATGGGGCGTTTGAGCTGCTCGGGCGTCTCGAAGGGCTCGTAGCGGCCCTCGATGCGGCATGCCTCCACCGTCAGGAACTTCATGATGTGCACCTTGCCCTTGACGCACACCTGCACGGGCCCCGCACATGCCAGGTGAGCAAACCCGGGAGGCCACCACCCCCCCCCCCCCCCCCCCCCCCCCCCCTGCCCCCCCCCCCCCCCCCCCCCCCGCGCCAACCTCCCCAAATCCCTCGTCTCCAAACGACAGGTTTATCCCAAATGGCCGCTGCTAGACTCCTCGCCCACGCCCGTAGATCGAGAACCACGTCTGTAATCGTCACGGTCCAGATTCGCCAAATTTCATAAAATTAACCGCAGACTACTCGGCGGGAATACACGCAGCAATCGGCTCCTGAAAAAGTTTGGCAGGACCCTCCTGAAAAAGAGTCACGTGACTCGGCAAGCCTTTCCTGGGAAAACAAGCGCAACAGCAAATGTCAATGCCGCGGTGCCGAGATGTTAACTACCTCACCTGGTATACAGGAGTTCGTGGGTTCGATCCCGCCTGTATATTTGGACTTGGCACGCTCTCCGCGTGGTCGCGTGGATTTTTCTCTGGCTCCTCCGGTTGTTCCCTCCACATTTAGAAACAACTTGCGCTTTGAGTATTTGGCTGCTATAAATTTCCACGCGATAAGTCACTTAGTTGAGCAATCATTTGTGGACAGGTCGCTTCTGAAAAAGAAGCTATATAGCTCAGTGGGGCCTTACCTGGTAAAATAACAAAAAAAAGTCTCGTTTAAATGCTAATGACAATAACAGCAACAAAGCATCCGCGATTTCAGCTCACGGCGGTTGCTCTCGTTTTCCATTACAACCGGCGGTAGCTCCTGCGGAGACGGGTCCAGCTAGCAGTGCCCCGGTTGGGAGGGGGGCAGGAACACGCACCTGGGCGGGGGGCAGGCGCAGCGGGTTGTTGTCCAGCTGGATGACCTGCAGGCCACGTAGCCGGCGGTAGCACAGCGGGATCTCCGTCACGCGGTTGCACGCAAAGTCCAGCGAGACGAGGGGCAGCCGTGACAGCTCTGCAAAGCGCACGGGGACGGGCAGGGGCACAGGGGGCACGGGCACAGGGGGCACGGGCACAGGGGGCACGGGCACAGGGGGCACGGGCGGCGGTTCGGGTTTTCATGCCGGGCGGAGCAAAGGTGGCGCTGCTTGCCTGCTGAGTTATGCTGGGAGGTCCTGGGAAACGGAGAGTGGTGCTGGTAGGTGCTGGGTAATGTTGGGTGACGCAGGGTGGTGCAGGATTGGGCTGGGTGGTGCTACGTGCTGCAGAGTGGTGCAGGATTGGGCTGGGGGGATGTTGAGTGGTGCTGGGTGGCGCAGGATGGAGCTGGGTGGTTCTGGGTGGTGCAGGATTTGGGCTGGGTGGTGCTGGGTGGTGCAAGGTAGTGCTGGGTGGTGCTCGGTGCTACTGGGTGGTGCCCGGATGTGTTGGGTGGTGCTGGGTGGTGCTGGGTGGTGCAGGGTGGTGCAGGGTGGTTGTGGGTGACAGAAAAAGTATGAGCTGGTGCTGGGTAAGGGAGTGGTACGGAGTGGCACGAAGCGTGCCAGCTTTTCACAGGATTACAACCGGCGTCGCTGGCCGGCGTTGCGGGGCATGGCGTGACGTGGTGAGCTGCGGCGAGCTGCCCCCGCGGTGCGCGTACCGTCCGGTAAGCAGGTGAGCCGGTTGCGCCGCACGTTCAGCTCTCGCAGGAGGCTGAGCGACCCCATCTCGGGTGGCAGGACCTCCAACTCGTTGCAGCTCACGTCCTGCGCGATAGTCACAAAATACAAATATCCCCCCCCTCCCCCGGTTATAGCCTGAACAGACTGTCGGGGCACTCTATGAAGGCCGCAATGGCACACGAGGGCATGGTGTGGCCAGCACAACGCACGGCCGCCTTTGTCTCCCCAAGTGGAGATGTTTGCACACTGCACCAGGTACTCATTTGAGGCAGAGTCGATCTAAGGGAGGGCCAGGACCGGTTCAGATAACAGTTGCTGGTGTTGACCGTGATAGGGAATCGAATTCGGGGTCGGCGGGTTCGTAGCACAGCGTGCTAACCGCTGCACTACCGCTCCTCACACACACATGCACGCACGCACGCACACAGACACGCAAGCTAGCACACACACACACACGCAAGCTAGCACGCACACGCGTGGGGGAAACCAGGCAGCAGCTACCGACTCATCAAAGCGGAAAGTTGCAAAACATAAATCCGACGATAAATTTGCCGGGTTGTTGACAACACTTAAACCATCGCAAGTCACGTTGCGGTTCCACGCAGCGGCCACGAGAGGGGGCCGTAAGGCACACAATGGCTGCACGTGGACAGACAGACAGCCCTTCCACACTCCACTGCTGGACGAGGGCCCTTCCCAGGCCATAGAGCGGGTAAGGTCAAGGAGGGGGAGCAGAGGGATGCGAGGGCTTCGTAGTAGTATGGAGCAACAATGGATATATTGCTAGTCGCCACGCGGCCTCGCTGCTTACGGCATAATATATGAAGCAATACCACGCAGTTTGGATTTATATAGGACAGTGTCGAAATGCAAACGCATCTCAAGATGCTGCATGGAAACAGTGGGCATATTTATTTTGTCGAGAGGCAGCCCGTCAGACAGGAAAAATCAAAAGTCGACGTCGGATCTAGATTTGACCAGGGGGAGTTGGCAGCACAGATGACTGGGGGGGGCGGGAAAAGGTGGTTCTAGACAACAGGGGCAGCAGAGGAGAATGAGCGAACTCCCCCTGAGTGGCGATTGACTCTATGGCTGGAGCGCTGTGGTGTGTGCAGGGAGAGCCGAGTAAGCTGAGAGGGAAGAGGGGCGAGCGAGTACATGGAGGGTGGGGGATCTTGAATGCACCGCAGTGGTATACAGGAGGGTGTGGGTTCGATCCCGACCCTGACGCCTGCTGTATAATTTGGAGTTTTTGCATGTCTCTCTCTCCGTGGTCACGTGGATTTTTCTTCGGGTCCTCCGGTTTTTCCCTCCGCATTTAGAGTCAACATCACGCGTTTTAAGGGTATTTGGCCGCTATAAATGTCCACACGGATAAGCACGCTTTCTTGAGCTATGAATTGTGGCCAGGTCGAACTGTATGGCTCAGTGATTAAATGTGCGATCTTGAAATCCATCCGGGATGGGTGATTGAGAGCCGGCGGAGGGATTGTGGCCAAGTGGTTTCGTTCACGGGAGTCAGGTAAACATCATCCTGCGCTCGTCAGCAGAGCAGCCAAACTGTCTTGTTTGGTTGAACTTCTTTTGCACCGTACGTAGCCAACCGTGCTAATCGGAGGTTCCGGGCGAAGGGCAACAAACTCATTCCAGTTCATTTGCCGCCGTCAGAAACGGCACGGCGACGACGATTTGACGCGGAGCGGTGCCGATCGCGGGAGCCGCTGGACCGAGCTGGTCGAGGCAGGAGCCGCCGCCGCCGGGTGGTGGTGGTGCGTGTACGCGTGTGTTTATTAAACGGGAACATTGGAGCTTTTCATGCGCACGTAACGCGACTCGACGCGAATGTCTAAAAGGAGGCTGGCTAAAAAAGCACGCCAAGTCAGCATATAAAGAGGCCGGGTGGCAGGGAGGGAGGGAGGGCCAGAGAGAAAAGGCTCCCCGGCAAAAAAAAAAAATCTCAGTTTTGACTTGGTGGATTCACGGCACCACGTCTTGTTAAACCAGGACAATAATAACCAAAGCGAGCGTTTCAAAGGCCAAGCCGGGCGGCGCGGGCGGCGCTCTCCGCATTTGGGAGATTCCCGCGCCGAACAAAATCGTGGGTTAACGGCCTCCAGCCGCTACCCCGCTCGCGGCATTCCCCACGGAGGAAGGCCAGGAATCGTCCACGCGCCATCTGTGCCCCGCAGATTCACACAGGACCCCCCCCCCCTCCACTCCGAGTGCAGAACAAGCCGAACATTCGGCGGGGGGGGGGGGGGACGCGGGGCAGGGGAGAGGGGTGGGCAGATGGGGGGGTACAGGAACCCCCCCCCCCCACCCCACACCATCGCCAGATCACCACCGTGCCCCACGCTCGCTCCCCGGAGACTCTTCCCTTAAAACAGCCCCTCCGACAGGGCGGCCGTGTGTTCGATTCCCAGCGGTGCCCTTCATCAACGGCCCACGTGAAGCAGGAACGGCGGCATCCGTAGCTACAGCAGCGGTGAGGATGTTATAACAAGGTCCCGTTTAGATAAAATATCTAGCTTGCTTTTATACCCTTGGTGGACGCGAGACACCTTATAAGGAGTAGTGTGTCTGGCTGAAGCCGAGACGTCATCCAATCGTGTGTGTCAGAATTGACGATTTACATTTGATGCAAATGTTATGCTAACGGTAAAAAGCTTGGTTCACGGCGTGAACAAAAGAAACAGAAAACGAGAAACAACACTATGGAAATACAAGGAAAGAGACAAAAACAATCAGTTATTCTTCACTCGAATCATCGCCACGAATCGTGACAATTCACTCAACTGCTCAGGGGGAGCTGCATCGTTAACTCATAACACCCAGAATGAATACGCATATCCAACGACTTACGATCACCCGTCACGATTCGGTGTCGCAAATTCGATTAAAAAGTTCCTTGCAAAAGGTTTCTATTTGGTGTTTGAACATCCTAACACCTCCTGTTTTGTTAACAGAAAGGGTGAAACCTATTATTATTTTATCAGAAAAAGTTTTAATCACTTTAAGCGTCATTTGCCCTTGTCGCGCGTGGATCTTTTACGTGAACCCCAAGGCCGCTTGTCGATCGTTAGCATGACACATCCACGAGCGGGCGAGATCGACAGTGCGGGTTGACGACAGGGAGCAAAGATCTTGAAGCACGGGAGTACTATACAACAACGGGATGTTCTGAACTGCACTCTACTGCCCATCGCAGAGCCCCGCAACGGCCTGCAAAACAACAACCTGCAGTGGATGGCGGCCACCCAGCCAAGCAATATCCACGGCTCAACTTCCGAGAACCACTCGCATATCCACGACGATTCGGTCGCGAGGCCCAACCCGCAACGATGAAATAAGCGCAGAGTCAGGATGCCACCCCGAGACTCCTTGAGACCGCACGCGAAGGCTCGAGCCGGGCTAGGGCCCAGCCAAACGCCGCCCCTCCGTTACCCCCCTCCGGTGAGGCCCTACGGAGGTCAGCCTCATTACAAGGTCACGGCAGTCACGTAAGCGCATTCCTCACGGCCGCAACGCTCGCCACCGCTGGCATGCGCACGCCCCGTGCGTGCTCGGAGCCCCCCGTACGAGGCAGCGCGAGCGAGCGTCACTCCCGTCGGAAGCTCTGGGAATGACATTTGACCCTTCCGACCCCACGGCACGTGGCGGCTACAGCCCCCGGAGGCCACTGGGGGGTGGGGGTCACACTGGTTGGAACAACATAGGTCACTTGACGAAGCGTCGCTGAGCTTTATCAAAGGAGTTATCAAACGTTCATTGACTTTTTATGAACTCCAGACACACATTTTCTGAGCAGGCTATCTGGTTACTGGTGCAACAGGACCAGACGTGAAGAATCATCCCAACTTCTTAACTTCACTCAAGTAGCATAGGCAAGTACATCAACTGCCGAGCGTAACAATCTGGCCAGCTTGATGTTGTTGGTTGACGTTGCTGGTGTCCAGTTATCTCAGAGGAATGGTGTAAGAAATCAAAAACCTTGGAATGTGGTGTGAAATGCATGGCTATAAGGGCGTCACGGTGGCAAGATGTTAACTCCTTCACCTGGGTATTCAGGAGGTCGTGGGTTCGATCCCGACCCTGACGCCTCTATATTTGCAGTTTGCGTGTGTCTCTCTCTCCCTGTGGTCGTGTGATTATTCTCTGGGCCATCCGGTTTTCCCCTCCACATTCAGAAACAAAGTGCGTTTAGAATATTTGGCTGCTATAACTTTTGCTTCCGAAAAAGAGCTGTATAGCTCAGTGGGCCTTACCTGGTAGAATGAAAAATAGTTTAGGAGTGTAATAGTTTTTTCGTCAGGTTTCGCTTTTTGCAGATCATTTGTTTTATCGAGAAACGCTGTTTATTTTAAACTAGATGCGTGTTGCTGTTGTGTTGCGAACGTTCCAGCGCTGAACCTTTTGCACAAAGTCCACGCGTTTCACCCCCAGATCTCATTTGCAAAGGGACAATTGTCTCAATGGGCTCTCACAGATTGTAACAGGGAAAAGCACATTATCACGTATGTAAGAACACGTGACGACGATGTTCAACAGGCTGATGCCAGCACACTGATGGTGGTGAGGTCCACAAATAGTGGTGGTGATGACGTGTATAGGTTGATCATGGTGGTGATGTGTATGAACGGTGATTGTGGCGATGACAGTGATGGTGGCGATGTGTATGAACAGTGCCAGTGGTGATCGTGGGGGATGTGTATGGATTGTGACGACGATGATGCGTATAGATGGTGATGGAGGTGATCATGGTGATGATGGTGATGATGTGTATGGATGGTGATGATCGTTATGGTGACAGTGTGTATAAACGGTGATGGCAGTGATGATGGAGATGGGTATGGATGGTGATGATAGTTTTGGTGGCGATGTGCATGGACGGTGATGATGATGATGGCGGTGATGTGTATGGATGGTGATGGCGGTGGTGGTGATGATGATGGCGATGGTGGCGACGATGTGTATGGATGGTGATGATAATTATGGTGTCGATGTGTACAAACGGTGATGGCAGTGATGTTGGTGATGGTGGTGATGTGTATGGACGGTGATGGTGGTGGTGGCGATGGTGGTGATGTGTATGGATGGCCATGGCGGTGATGTGTATGGACGGTGATGGTGGTGGTGGCGATGGTGGTGATGTGTATTTATGGCCATGGCGGTGATGTGTATGGACGGTGATGGTGGTGGCGATGGTGGTGATGTGTATGGATGGCCATGGCGGTGATGTGTATGGACGGTAATGGTGGTGGCGATGGTGGTGATGTGTATGGATGGCCATGGCGGTGATGTGTATGGACGGTGATGGTGGTGGTGATGATGGCGATGGTGGTAATGTGTATGGATGGCCATGGCGGTGATGTGTATGGACGGTGGTGGTGGTTGGCGATGGTGGTGATGTGTATGGACGGTGATGGTGGTGGTGGTGGCGATGGTGGTGATATGTATGGATGGTGATGATAGTTATGGTGTCGATGTGTACAAACGGTGATGGCGGTGGTGGTGGCGGTGATGTGTATGGATGGCCATGCGGTGATGTGTATGGACGGTGATGGTGGTGGTGGCGATGGTGGTGATGTGTATGGACGGTGATGGTAGTGGTGGTGTGTATGAGAGCCCACCAGCTCCAGCAGGCTGCACAGCTGTCCGATGTCGGGTGGCAAGGAACCGATCTTGTTGTTGCTCAGCACCAGGACCTTGAGCATGGGCAGCTTGCACACGTGGACGGGCAGTGAGCCCAGCTGGTTGCGGCTGTCACACGACAAGACAAAGACAAAGGTCCCCCGTATAGCCTTAAAATGTTGAAGAGGCAAGTGCTATTAGAGAGCACCTATGAAGACCGGCAAAGCAAACGAGGGGGTGGGTGGCCAACACTACGCCCGGTCGCCTTCGTCTTCCCAGCGGCGATGTTTACACACCGCACTGGTTACTTGTTTCAGGCTGAGTCGACCTAGGGAATGCCCAGCACCGGTTCAGATAATCGCCACTGGTGGTGACCGTGAGCAGGAATCGAACTCGGGTCGCCGGGTTCGTAGCACAGCACGCTAACCCGCTACACTACCACTGCCCACACACGTACACTGTACGTCACACCCCACACACACACACTCAACCCCTTCTGTCGCCGGCAGTGTTAATCACTGCCCGTCCTCGCACGCTGAAAAAAGAGAAGAGAAATTTTAATGAGAATGGGTTTTGGTTTTATTTGTGCGGTGGGAGGAGCACGGGGGTGTGGGAGCGAAGTCCCTTCGCTCTCGCCAAGCACGCAGAATCACCAGGCCCCCCTGTGGAGGTACTTTCTTCCCGTCTGGGAGAAAGTAAAAAAAAAACGTTGTCGGGTTGTTTAAACGTGCGTTTGTTTGGCGAAGAGTTGTCGTATCATTACGGTGTAAAAATACAAAAAGCATCTCTCTCCGCTTAGCAACTCATTGTATCTGGAATCTGTCCTGGGGGTGAGGTTGAAAGAGGCAGGCAAGCGCTGGCGATGGTGCTTCCACATTAACGAGGCAGAGGGCACGGGGCTGCCTAAACAGGTCCCGGTCTCAACAACCAGCGAAACGAGCAGCTCGACCCCGCAAGGGGTTTGCAACGCAGTGGCGAGAAGCACGCTCGAGAGAGGCACACGGTGGAAAGACATGGCTTTGGCTGTTATGAAAAAGTCAGAGCGGGGCAAGGGCAGGATACGTTGCTGGTCAAGGCCCAGAGTGCCGAGCCGACAGTGTTGAGAAGCTGGTTCGGGATCTGTTGTTCGGGATCTGTTGTTCGGGATCTGTTGTTCGGGATCTGTTGTTCGGGATCTGTTGTTTCGGCCGCCCGAGATTAAACCGAGTCCTGTCCCTTCACGGGCTCACTCTGTCCGTACCCGCATTGATTTTAAGATTCTCTTTCTGGTGTTCAAGGCCTTAAATGAACTTGCTCCTCCCCTACATTCCTCCTCCCTGCATTCATGACCTCCCTTTCAGCCACATATATTCCATCACGAATCATTAAGATCCTCAGATTGTGCCATGCTCACCGTCCCTGCGGTCTCAGGCTTCACACTTGGCGGGGGGGGGGGGGGTGATCGTTGCCTCTGAGATTGCGGCAGCTCAACTCTGGGACCCCTCGCCCCCATTCGAGGTCAGGGGACTTCCGAGACACTTTACAAATCTTCAAATCTCGACCAAAAAAACGCATCTGTTTAAAACGGCTCTCCCTTTTCAAACGTCTTTCTCACTTCTTCTTTCCCCGGTCGATGTTAAACTGTTTCCGCCTTTCCATGGCATAGCGTCCTGAGAACCATCGTTTAAGGGTGCTTTATACATTAAGGTTATGATTATTAAGTGCAGGGCCGAGCTGCGTGCAGCAGAAGTCCCGACGGGGAATTATTTTTTGTTTTCCTTTCCAAGGGGCACAGACACGCGATCGCAAGTTCAAATGCGCGCGCTTCACGAAGAACGTTTACAGATTTAAGCAAACGCCGGGGACGAACAGAGCCTCGCGGGGCCGGCAAAACACCGCCGCAGACAGTTGCCGCGAGAATAACTTTGGCCCAAGGCGCATGCCGTCCCCCCTGCCGTCCCCATCACACCCCACCCCCGCCCTCCGCTCCCTGTAAACAGAAGCGCGAGTGTTTTGTGAAAAGCGTCGAGAACGGCGGCAGCCCCGGGCCAGGGCAACAGTGAGCGGAGCTCAACGGGCTCGGCAGGGGTGGCGATGATGCTCGCTCGCTTGCTCGCGGAAACGCAGAGTGGGGGGGGGGGGGGGGGGGGGGTCTCTGTTCAGCTGGCGCAAATAAATTATTAACAGTAGGCACCGTACGTGCGCACGCAGGAACGCTTCACGAGCGCCTGCGACCGCCACCGAGGCCATTCCCTCGGTTTGTCGCCGGCTACTCCCCGTTGACTCACCCACCCCGCACACACTCACTCCAGAAGCGCTCGTTGCACGCGCACACGCACACCTGATGAGCCATTCTCCCGGCCGCTGCACTATTATCATCATCATCATCATCACCACCACAGTTGAATTTCTGCTCGTCATCTGACAAAGCAGTCCGGCGCGCGAGCGCGTGCTGCGAAGATGAAGCGACTTCACGAAGGCGAGGGCTGGCGGACGGACACGGCTATTTTAAGACGAGGCACGAGGAGGGGCGTGGGCGTGCCGAATATATTAATGGGCTGTGCGGCGGCAGCGGCCCAGAGTTGGCAGTACAGCAAGCGGATTACGTGTACCCGGTGTGCGCAGCTTTGCGTGCTGTCCCCGACTACTACGGTTTCCTTCCACACGAAGCTGGACGCTCACAATAAATGGGGTTGGTCAAACGTCCCAACGCAGCGTGCTTGTCGACTGGAATCATAAAACTGAAGAAATGATTTTCTGGATAAATAAAAGGCAATGTTATTAACATTATTATTTACTTAGCGGGGTAGGAGCAGTGGTGCAGTGGCTTGCGCACTTGCACTACAAAATCGGTGGAGCGTGATATCGAAGCCGATCCTGGGTACCACCCTTTACGAACCCACACTATCCAGCAAGGTGAAGTATGGTAAAAAAAACCCCACAATTTTCTAGTGACAGTCTGCTGACAGAGGGCCGAACATTACTATTGTTGTTCTCAAGATGGAGACGACGATGACAATGATCGTGATGATGTTCAACGGTGCTGTCACTGCTGGTTAGCAGTGGCGGTACTCGCACGGCCCTTCCGCGCACGCGCCCCTACCATGTCGCTTCAGTTCACAATGTTCGCCCCCGCTGCTGCGAAGCCATCTCTTCGGCTGACGATCAAGTTTCCCTGACGGCCTGGGGAGCTCTCTCGGCACGGCATGAAAACGTGGCATGACGACACGCGGTCATCTCAACTATGCCTCTCTCTCCTCCAGGAATGCGCAGCTCTGCAGAGAGCTGGGCACGGGCAGTGCAAACCCCAGGCTCAGGTCTCAGCATCACAAACCCTGCATCTCAAACCCTGGCTCCCACACTCAGCATCACAAACCCTGGCAACCATACTCAGCATCACAAACCCTGGCTCCCACACTCAGCATCTCAATCCCTGGCTCCCATATTCAGCATCACAAATCCTGGCTCCCATACTCAGCATCACAGACCCTGGCTCCCATACTCAGCATCACAGACCCTGGCTCCCACACTCAGCATCACAAACTCTGGCTCCCATACTCAGCATCACAAACCCTGGCTCCCACACTCAACATCACACACCCTGGTTCCCACACTCAGCATCACAAACCCTGGCTCCCACACTCAGCATCACAAACCCTGGCTCCCATACTCAGCATCACAAACCCTGGCTCCCACACTCAGCATCACAGACTCTGGCTCCCACACTCAGCATCACAAACCCTGGCTCCCACACTCAGCATCACAAACCCTGGCTCCCATACTCAGCATCACAAACCTTGGCTCCCACGCTCAGCATCACAGACCCTGGCTCCCACGCTCAGCATCACAGACTCTGGCTCCCACACTCGGCATTCCATGTCTCATCCAAGAGCAAGGAATATTCCCTGCCAGGGAGGTCTCCCCCAGGCATAGATCACAGCCACCACTCCTCATCAACATCTGCTGCCACCTGTCCCACTGCTGCTGCAACTCTGCTGCTGCAATGCTGCTGCTCCTGCTGCTGTAGTAACACCACCGCTGTAACGCTGTTGCGAGTGCAACACGGCGGTTGCTGCTGCTACAATGCTGCTGCTGCTGTAACGCCGATGCTGGAATGCTACAGCTGTAATGCTTCTGATTCAATGCTGCAATGTTACCGGCTGCTGGTACATCACTGATGCTACTCTAACGCCCATGCTGCAATGCCGCTGCTGTATTACTGCTGCTGCTGCTGCTGTTGCAACGCTGGAGGCGGCTCACCTGAGGTTGAGATAGGTGAGCACCTGCAGGTTTCCAAGGGGATCCGGGATCGACTTGATGCAGTTGTGGTACAGGTAGAGCGTTTCCATGGAGACATAGTGACAGACGTCCAGCGGAACCTCGCTCAGCCGGTTCCGGGAGAGGTCTATGGAATGGCACGCAGACGGACGGACGGACGGACGACGACATGGAATCAATCGGCAACACCAATTATTCAAGCGATCCCCTCGTTCAACGCGGCAGTAGTAGATGCGTTCCCGAAAAGTGCCACGTTAAGTGAATAACCGCGTGAAGCAAGGAATCGCTGTACAAGCCCAATCACATTTGCACCGTAAGGTCAGCCTGCAGTCATCCCATGGCGGGGACAAAGAACTGAGACGAGGGTACGCCGCCGCGTACCGCATCGTGTCACGTGCAGTATCATACCACTCAGACGCGTGGCTCAAAGTGGTTCGTCGTCGACCACTCAGTAAGCGCGTTATAATCATGGCGAGTGATTCCGCATTCTAACAATGGTGTGTTGTTCGGCGTTGTAACGGCGCGTGGTTCTGCGTTATAACAACGGTGCGCAGTTCCGTGTTATAACAATGCGCAGTTCCGTGTTATAACAACAATGCGCCGTCCCGTGTTGTAACAACGGTGCGCGGTTCCGCGTTATAACAGCGGTGCGCGATTCCGTGTGATAACAACGGCGAGTGGTTTCGCGTTGTATCAACGGTGTGCAGTTCCGTGTTGTGCGAAAAGCGTTCCCCAACGGAAGAACCGCTTCAGGCCTAAAACGCGTTGTAGTGCGAATTCATTACCCGCTTCCAGTTTGCATTCACCTTTTTCTGTCGAACTAGCTTCGAATTGTTGACACGAAGCGTTAAGAGGAGTTGGTTCATTGTCGCTTTCGGGTGGTGCCAAAACTGTGCCCGCATTCATCGGTTATCGACTAGTGCACATCGAAAGGGACTGTGTCATTTATGCAAACTACACGCAAGTACAGAAATATACGCCCACGTTCCTTTTCGTGGAGCGAGCAAAAAAAAAGAGTTACAAACGAGATGGAAGAAAAAAATCATAACAATTCTGGAACCGGAATCACGATTCGTCGTCACAAATCGAAGCGTCGCGAGTCACCGAACCGTTGGAGGGAATGACAACCGCATCGTAGCGGGAGGCACGGGTTTTCGCGCAGCGGCGTTGGCACAAGCCGCCGAGCTGTGCCCCAGGTTCCTTCCGACTCTTTCTGCGCGCACGTTGCGAATCGAGCGAGGGCGACCTGGCCACGCCGAACCGGCATCGCGCACGCCGAGGCCACCGGTGACAGCAGAACCCACCGCGATAACAAAAAAAAAATCAAACAAAATCGGGTAAACCGAAACACAACACGTTTCGGGACAACGCAAGACTCGGATAGCGATCGCCTAAAAAAAATACACCGAATGTGCACATTTCTACGTGGGCCCGCCTGAATCTGCGGGCCACATGGCCCGAATTGTTTGACGTGTTCTCGCGTGCAATGCGTGGGGGGTCCTGCGACCCGCAGGCTGTATGCGGCCCCTTGCCACGAGAGGCAATAAACCATCACGCGAACTCCGGTCGTCCTTGCGGCGGTGGCTTGTGGCAGGCCATCGAACGAAGACGGTCGCTGGCATCGCGCCCCCGCTTTCAGGTGCGCTTCCACGGCTGTCTGGAACGTCCTTCCCTACGATATTAAGACGCCACTGGGGGTAGCTATGCATTTTTAAATCATCATCTAGATTGAAAACTCATTTCTTTGGAACTGCTTTTTTTGCGTTTAGTTTGTTGCCCTTACCCGGCACCTCCGATTAGCCACAGTTTGGCTACGTACCGTGAGAAGAAAGTTCGACATACACACGAGGCACGCAACTTCGGAACGGCCCACAAACGATATTTATCCATCAATAAGAGCATCTTAGCCGCACTGATCTGTTGCTGAAGGGGGAATATTTTCAACCCGGCCATACCGACTCTCGACTTCCTGGGTTCTTTCCTGAAGAAGCTTGGCAAGGTTTAAAGTGAAACATGTGTCGAATTGCAAACATTTTGGTTGTGAGAATTGTTCTTCGGCTTACTGGCGAGCCGACACGATAACAATCGGGGCCGTAAATTGCTTCCACACGTGACAATTTAATTTGTTTGGCCGCGTCGGATGGAGGAGGGTTTCACAACACAACATTTGTCCGGCTCATTGCGTGGCCCTAACCCAAAAGTCAATTACGAACATTGACATTGGAGTTGACATTGTCAGCGCTAATTTAACACGGAGGGATACTGTGGCCAATATTATGAATAATAAATGTTTTTTGGATTGTGTCGGTTGTAATATACCAGTGAAACGTCACTCAAATTCTAAACGTTGCACGTTTACTCTCCAACACACCGGTGTGCTGAAGTTGTAAATAATTGGCACGTTTTGATTACGTGACAAACCCTTACTAAGCCGGCTGTGTGGGGTGGTTGGAGGCGGGTTTAACAGGACATTTATCTTTACGGGATCTAACCCAAACCTCCCCCCTTTATTACGAATTTCCAGCGCTCTCGGTCACTTCCGTCAATGCGAGGAGCTCTTGCAGTGACACAAGTGACCGAGGCGCGTGCGTGCGTGTTAGTGTGCGGTAGCCCGCCAAAGGTATTCGACGACAAGGCCTATTCGGCCCTCAGGAAGGTAAAGCGTTTCCTCCTCCTCCTCCCCCTCCTCCTCCACTCCCACCCCTCCTGTAACACGACCGGACGCACCAGGCGTCTGCATTGAGATTATCTTCCTCCGCTGACCGATGGAGCGTAAACAACGTTGCTTCAGTGCGAATGATTGGGCGACCGTCTCTGGTCGACACGTCCAGCCTCGCCACCTCCCCACATCGCCAACTCCAAGCCGCGGGGCTTCTCCAATGATTACATTAATTTGAACCAACGAGGCAAATAAGTACCTACGCGTTAATTAGATTTCCCTAGAAGCTGGGTAAAAAAGAAAAAATTTCCACAGAACGATAAATCCCTACGCGAGCGCTGGGATTTCAAGAGCCGCTTTTTAAGGGTCACGGAGTTTTGCTTATGAGGTTGGGGGGCACCGCTGCGTCCCAACGACCCCGGAGGGGCGGGCCGGGCCGGGGTCGTGCGTTGTGGACGTTGGCAGATGTCCCGAGGCGATAGCGGTGGCGATTGCTTACATGCTTTGGGTCCGGTGCACTTTCCATGAACCCGCGCTGTGTGCGTGCGCAGCAGTAAGCGCCGGAGGAGTTTACAAAAAAAAAATCCCAGCAGCAAACCACGATGTCGCCAGAGCGGTACAGTCCAGCTCGAACCCAATTCTAGTTTTTTTTCTTCCCCGCAACCTATTTTACACGGTGGCGGTTCTATAGCTTCAGGTGCGCCAGCGGATCGTTACATCACAGGGTCACGAGAGGTGGCGACGCCTTCATCCAGCAGCGGATCGCTCATGGCTGATGATGAAGGTAAGCTAATGGCGCAGGATTCCCGGTAACCTTTCCAGAGAGGCTCACTTAACGCACCGGCTTGCCGGGCTCGCGTGCGGATCGAATTATTATTTTATTTTGCTTCGAGCAGCCGGAACAGCTTAGCGCGGATTCCAGTCCCGTCTCAAGGTTACGGGGGCCGCCTCCTCTGAAGTTTGCATTCTTCAAGCGGACGTCGTCACTGGAGGCGGCGCAGCCCTGCGAGCACGCGCAGCCGTTTAACCTTGACCGTCGGCGGCACAGCGCGAGCAAACGCGCTGTGCGCCGCGTACACAAGCACACCTTCGTTTGCAAGCGCACGTGGGCGTGCATACACAGAGCCTTACCAAAGACCCCCCCCCCCCCCGTATAGCCTTAACAAACTGTTGGGGCAAGTGCTATTCGGGAGCACCTATGAAGGCTGGCACGGACAAATGGCCAGCACCACGCCCCACCGTCTCTGTCCCCCAGTGGCGATGTTCACACACCGCGCCAGGTACTCATTTGAGGTCGAGTCGACCTAGGGGAGGCCCAGGACCGGCTCAGATAATCGTCACCGGTGTTGGCCGTGAGTGGGAATCGAACTCGGGCCGCCGGGGTTCGTAGCGCAGCGCGCTAACCGCGACACGACCGCTCCCTCGAGCATTCACAGTTGCACTGTCACACACACGCGCACGCACGTAGCCACGCGCGTGTGCAATATGGTAAACTCTGCTACCCGCACACGCCCACTGGCTCTCCGACACCACCCAACACGAACTTATCATGCGAGGGTTGTGGCATGTTGTCGTGCGCCATCCAAAGGGACGTTAAGCTTTGGTAAACTCCTATTTTCACCGCACGACATACACGTACATACCGCGTGTCGAACAAGTAATGTCACTTTGTTCACCCAGGTTAGTTGTTTTTTTTCAACGAGTCTCAAGGCTATTTTTCAGGAGGGTGCTGCGCTGGTGATCTTTGGGCAAGAATGAGCAGCAGGAGGAAATCCGACGTACCAGGAGGAAACCCAAAACCCATCACACAAACGTGGAGGCAGCACTCAACCATCCACACGAGGCTGGATCATAAACCCACTTTTGCTGCCACGTACTGCCCACTCGGATGCCTAGCAGCTTTGGGTGTTTTATAAAGCTGCGTCATCCGCCAACCCTGGATTGGGGGTGTGTGTGTGTGCGCCATCACAGCACTTGCATGAAGGCAGCACTGACTAAAACGAAACTATTTTTTACCTTACCAGGTAAGGCTGCTCTTTTTCAGAAGCGACACGGCCATCACAATGATAGCTCAACGAAGTGGCTTATGATCACGTGGAAATGTACAACAGTCAAATACTGTGAAAGCACGTTGATTCTAAATGTAATGGGAGATACCGGGGTGGACCCGGAGAAAAATCCACGCGACCACAGGGAGATCACGCAAACTCCAAATATACAGGCGTCAGGGTCGGGATCGAACCAACAACCTCCTGTATACCAGGCGAGGCAGGTAACATCTCGCCACAGCCGGGCCCAGAAGTCAGATGGCACCCAGCTAATGGTACGGTCCAAGTTCGTGGGACAGGATGAGTTATAATGTCCCGTAGCGTAGAGTGAGGGCTTTCCGCCCACCAGGGCGCCGCGGCGGACGTTAATGAGCCAACTCAACGCTCCCCCTGGCAACGCCACCTACGAGAGAAGCGTCG